CTGGTTGCGGGGGCGGGGTCTGGAATAGCGCGAGGCGGGGGGGTTTGTTTATAAGGTAGATGAAGCCGACAAAGCACTGCCAATAGAGGAAGGACAGTAGAAGTGACGAAAGGAAGCTACTGGTGAAGATTGCGAAAGAGATGCGACATTGACAGCATTCTGATTCAATGAGATCAGAATTAGCTTGGTTCGTTGTCCGGACAAAAGATGCAGCGAATAGAATGCAGCAATGCCACGGGAAGCTCACCAAGTCAGGACAGAAGGTCGGGGAGAAGAACAAACAAGAAGGCCGTTATTCGGGGGGGTAGAAGTTTCAAAGGTAGGTTGAAGGAATAATAATTGTGGGCGGCGATAAATTGATAAAGTGTAGACGATTAATAGGATCACCGTTACAAAGGAATTAGACCAAGTGGGTGTGGGTGGCGAAGTGGCTCCGTTCCTGGGGGGGAGAGGCAATCGATCTCGGGATTAGCAACTGTAATCAGCAGGGGTTGAGTTTCCAGGCTCCAGGGGAAACCCACGGGTGGCTACTCACCAAGCTCTGCGCACGGAAAGACTTGTGCGGATGGACTAAATCACCCACGAATGCCAGAGACCATTGAACCTGGATTCCTTAGACGAGGATTGTGGTATAGGATAGGATGGAGGTCAGTTGCGCGGGCATGCGCCGCGATGGGTGGTGTGAGTCGGTGGACAAGCCGGAGATAGCCGACTGGAGTTATGGGCGGGCGGGTGTGCTGAGCTACTAGTAGTAGCTGTGCTTTAATCAATTGCAGATAAGCAGACAAGAGGGCGGTATTGTGGCCCGAAAAATAGCTCAGAAGGAAGAGAAGAAAGGCACACTTTGGGGTTGGGGATATGGGGAGAGGGGGGGTAATATGAAAGAAAAAAAAAAGAATAGTAAGTAGTAGTAGTTGTAGCGGTGGTTAGATAGATGTAATTAAGAGGGATGGAAGGTGAGCAGGAAGGATGACTGATGAATGGGGGATGGGGGATGAGCGTGGATTGGGTGGTGTAAGGCTGTACTATCCGAGGGGTGTCAGTACGAGCAGGAACCGCAGCAGTTAGTGGCTTCTGCCGCAGCAAGGAAACGCCCTAGTAAGTAGTCTGGCTGTTGCACGGGGAGCACCAGAACTGAACAACTCGCAGGATCGTTCAGCAGTGGTTCTTTTTCTTTTTCTTTTCTTTCTGTTCTTTCTTTCTTTTAACTCAACTCACTCAACTGGTACATGCTCCGAGCAGCTGGTCGGGTTATCTAGTGGCAGGTCGATGGTATGTCGTAAGCAGGCGCGGTCCATTCACCTGCTAAACCAACTAGTAGTTAGCTAGGTAGTCATCTCCAATTGCCAGATATGTCATTTCGTTTCGATTTATTACTCCATATTATTTCCCTGAAGTATTGGGATCGCTCCCTCCGGTTACGAACAGACCAGCCTAGCCTCCCAACTAACTGATGGCCGGACTACAACCTACCACCTTAGCTACCCAGGCCGAAAGTGAGCTTTTTTCTTTTCCCCTTTCCTTTTTCAATTTTTCTTTTTCTATTTTGCAACCTACATTTTACCAGCTTGAGCAGTGAGAGGCCCGTCTAACTAACTAAACTTACCCCGGCGAATGTTGCGGGACAAACCCACGAAACAGCATCCAGCTTTAGTCACGGCCGTCCAGCCAATAATGGGTCGTGACGGGAAACGGAGTGGGCCGGGTGGCTCTGGTCCGGCGTGCTTTGGGAGGGAAAGCATGGGCCATGACAGGGCCAGAGCCAGAAAGCGGGCCCCACAACCCAGTCACGGGGGAGTGGATGCTGTCCCAGCCCACAATACGGTCACATCCCGGCCGCACGTATTGTAATTTTGTATCTCTTGGGTATTCGCCCGTCACGCAGGTCTCTCTCCGATCACTTACTTCCTGGGCAGGTAGTATCTCGAGTTACTTCCCTTGTTAGTGGGATGATTGCTAGTAAGCGAACTAATCAACTAACTAGCCAGCTAGAGAGACAGAGGAAGAGAGCTATCTACGTAGACCGCGACCTGGCCATCTGAGCCCGTCCGATGGCCGGTGGAATGATCCTAATTACGACACACACCGTCGTCTAGAATGTCAACGATGGCCCTTCGGCAGGGGACACGGCCGAGAGTACAAGGCATTAACAAGGAGGCAGAAGAAGTATTAGACCGGAGGATAGACTACCTTAGTCGTGCATGACCAGCTTCGTCAAGATCATCAATTTCCTCTCATTGTCTTGAAGGCAACTTCCAATGAGACATGGAATACGAAGCACTAGCAACGAGGACTATATCGTTATTTTTATCCCGGTTAACATTCTATGAAGACACACTCGTAGGATGAGTGGTCTGGTACCTAGGCCTGCATAAGTTGTGTTCTACTTCAAAGTATTAGTGTTGTCGATTGTTTGAGACAGTACCCTTTGTGTTTGTCGACGGTACTCTTGCTCGCTCTGTTTAATACTGTAACAATTAAGTGGTATAGGAGCTCAAATGCTCACTGTGGCTTGGTGGGAGGGTTTCGAATCCATCCAAGCTGGAGCTGTTGTATTTGTTGCTGGAGATCTCTAGAAAGGGCGCCGGTGTTTACAGGATGAGCACAGAGCAACACTTGAAGACTAGGGCCAGTTTGCTGCAGTATTAGTTGATCAGGGTTATTCAAATCATGGCATAGTCAATAAGCTTGTGCTGCTTGCTAGAATATTGCACCCATTCGGGATACAACATAAAGTCTGTGTATTGAATTAGGTTCAGTCTGGTCTGTCACGAAAGTGGTAAAGCAGGCGGTGCCATTCGGAGACGATACAAACACAGCCTCGCCTTTCTAGAACCTCGCATGCTCTTCTGGATCCTGAAGCATCCAGGAAATTCCGACGACGCAAGCAGCTAATGACTCCACAAAAGGTTGCTCGCCGAGAGACCACTCGAGATAGAAGATTATGATTATCTCGCGTTACTTACAGCGTTTCTTTTTGCAAACCGGCCACTGTCACTTATCAACGGCAAATGTATTGCAGATTAGATTACCGGTGAGTTGGTGTGTCACTACTAAAAGTCAAGGGCGCTTCAGGCTACCGGACTAGTATGCAAGCTAACTGGATCAGGCAGGCTCACGGGCTGCAGGCCGATTGTGGCCGGTCCTGCTTTTTTGGTGTGCGACCTGGGGTAATTATTGATACGGCGCGCAGGTAACATTGACGCTGGTGAAAGGGTAAGATATGGTAAGACCGTAAGAGAAACCATACCGGTTCGGTCTCCAAGCCGTTATTTGGCCCGTCGTAGCCTCTTGGGTCATTTCTCTCGGCAGGAGCCAGAGTTCAGGGTGGAATTCAACCTCGGACCTCGTGACTGCCCGGATCGGCCACTATTTGCCTCCGGCTTTAGCAGGAGCCACGATGGAAGCGAGATCCCAGTCAGAGCATCCGTCATCCGTATGGGGTAGGAACAAAGAGGGAAAAGAAACCACGTCGACGGGTCGGCTGGTTGGGGTTATGGAGGGAAACCATTAAACCTTCGACGGCTACGCCCGAGTCGGTGGGCTGCCTAGCCCTGCTTAACTGCTTACATATGTGGTGGCGGCTGGCGCCGCTTCAAAAACCCCCCAATCAGGGTAATGGAGGGAAACAATGGAACTGATCGTAATTAATCGGCAGCTGGCGCCAATTTGGTAGGGAGGAAGACGTTGGGGAGTGGAGAGAGACAGGAAAAGGAAGGACTGGTTGCGAGCTTGGAGCACTGGACCATCTTCTAGTCTAAGTCAGTCAGTCCGTCAGTCTATCTCCTGCACTAGTTTCACGACCGGACCGCAGCATGGAAAATCGAGCCTGCGCCATTTTGTGGGGAGGACGAATGAGAAGGTTCAAGGTTCGTGTGGGGGATTTCCCTGGATCCAGCGGGTATTTTGCCAATCGTATCCGTTCGATCCATTGCTGCGGGTGGGACCCCTGAGGTCATTCCACCGGCTGGAGAGTGAGCTGCCTGGAGAAAAAGAAAGACGAATGACTGCTTGATGAGCTGCAAAGTATGGTACCAAGCTGATACCTCATCGTGTTAACAAACTGTTGGGAAGTCAAAGTCGCTAAGACCGTACCAATCTCTTCGACGAACGAGAATGGCCTGTTACTCCCCCAGCCATCTTTCCTCCAAGATGGAACACAGATGCGCCTAGGCATCCAACTACCTAGGTTCATCCTTCCTCGCTTCCATCGGGCGGTGTCCAATTTTGGTCCCGGCTACTAAGGTTAATTGACGACTTCTTTTTTTGTTCGGTTTCACCTCATCTTCCGCGACGCCCCCATCGGGCAGTTGATCGTTGCCTAGTGGAGTACCTCTCCCTGTCAAGCGGACGACGATGAAGACTTGGCAAAGGCCGTGGGCGAAATAATCCGGAGCTCATCGGTTGCACTAGTAGCTTCCGACCTTCCACTGCTCGTTGATTGGATCTGAGCGCCGCCCATAGCTGATCAACCTGGTCAGTTTCCCCAAAGACTGGCGTCCCCTGAAGTACTGGGGTCGGTTCCCTAGGAACAGCGCGTTCGCCCTCGATTTCCGGGAACGGACAACCAACCAACACGAGTAATCCCTCCAAAGTATCGTGTCCACGTTGGTCGCATTGACCAATCTCGTCTCCAATTCCAAAGAGGTCACTGGCGCACGCGAGTTTGACTTTCATGCTAAATTATCTGAGCATGGGTATCGTCGCCATTCCGAGGCAGGCCCAAACACAACACTAATTAGAGTGTCCACGCATTATGCACAAGCGACTGTCCAGTCTTATCCAGGATGTGCATGGGGGCAGTGCGGATGGTTGCGGACCTGCTGACTGTCAACTTTAACGGGCGGTTGTTGGTCGCACGACCGCTGTGCCGTCGCAATGAGAACTGATTTAGAACAGAACTCCCAGTATCAAGTAAAAATTGAGCAGATACGGTTCCTGTGTCTTCAACCGATATATTCCAGTCATGGATCATAGAAGCGCGATCTACAGAATGAAAGCTATACTCCGAGCGGCATACAAAAGCTCGTCCTGCTGGAGCCTGTGATATCTCTGTAAAGTGCCAGCGACTTACAACAACAAGCGCACAAAAGAAACATCCCATGTACTTACCGGGTTGCTAACATGATTTGAACTCCCTATGGAACCAAGATTCCTTGCAGCGTTAAGGGATGGATGGTGTTGCATGGTAACCTATAGAGCTGCACGAGGATCCCATTTATCCAGGATTAGCCGCCCACCTTTGCTGCCGATGTGAGTGCTACAATGACCGATTGGTTGAACATGTCTGGCAACATCCCACGTTATGACGTCTATGGGCTTGCAGACAGAAAGTTGAACAATGATTGCTGGCAGTGAAGGTGTTTGAGGACAGCTTCCATGCATGGATCTAGCACGGGGTCCATGGTCCGTCTACGATACGTCGACGGTGGGATATGCAAGATTTTATTCGCGCATTGTAATTGACGAGGGTAGGAGAATCTCAGAATTCTGGGATCATGGCTTGAGAATGGGACGTTGTCGACCGGTGTTGCACAACCATATCGAAACGAGCAGTATGACTCGTGCGAAGCATAATTCATCGCATCCATGGACAGCGGACACGTAGGAGTGAGCTGAGCTCGCCAGCGGTTCTTACACCCTTCCGAGGTCAGTTCCTTCAGTTCCTTTTCATCGCACGGTCCCTCTGTCTGGCTGACCACAGACCCTCGACACCTGAGGCCACCGACAGCTCAAGCGCCATTTAGTGCGGTGTCAGGTGGTGCACCGGTGGTATTATTAGTATTGATCGAGCAGGTACGCAATACCCTGGATCTACACACACGCATCGTCACCACCAGGACCAGCTACTACTGCTAAAGCCCGAGAAAGAAATGGGTAGTCGGCAGGACGCTAGCATCCCCTTATATACAGGTACCAATTGCGGAGATGCCAATCATCACGTTGGTGTTGCCGCAACCTTCGATCCGCCGTCAAGGTTTCCGAGGAACGATACGTTAGTACACCTGTCAGAAACCGAGTAATCCGAACCTAACCAGTCTGGGGTCCCGTTGCGGAAGATCTCCTACCAGTGCCTCCTTAGCGCTCTACTGGAGACGGCTGGTCCGAGGGCGTTGTGGGTTAGGGGCGGGTGCGATCGCGTTACTATACGACTTGATGCATCTGAGATTCACCAGCTCCCATGAATCCCCAGAAGAAAACAAGGAACGAGACCTCCCTGCTTTTCCGCGAGATGCGACGAACGCTGTGCTATACATACGCCAACTAGCGATGCGGATACCTAGAGCCGCCCGACTCGAGCGTGTACATATGCGAAGCTGCCGACGATCTGAGACGCATCCAGAGGATGTGTTGCACAGATGATAGGCGCATGAAGCATCAACCTAGTAATCCGAGCAAGCTTGGCAACAGGATACAGACAGGGATCTAGCAACGGGTGTCACGGACCACTATGGTCCGATATGGTGCACCGCAGCGTCATCAGCCTTCCTGTACTCCGTACGGACAGCTATCCATCCATACGAAGCATAGAACAATCGCATTGTCGATCCTGCGCGACGCGAGTAACAGGCAGCCTGAGAAGAAAAATCTCCGACGGCGTGCATGGCGATCGTGGAATACAGGCGCCTTGGTGGTCTTTGCTCGAGCGGATATGCAAGATGGCATCATGGGCGCGAGATAACTTCTGCACGGGCCGTGGGCCTCGTCACAAAAGTAATAATACTTACAGGATAAGGCTGTAAGCACCGAGTCGAGGTACCCAGCTTGGCCTCATCGGGATCTCACGCGTGCTGTCTTCGCGGGTACTCCAGGGATGCTAGCCACCGTTTTGCGCAGGCTGTGCAATGCGGGAAATTCAAGTAGCCCCGGTCGACATTGGGATACAATGTGCCCTTGATCTAGGTGCTGAATAGCTGTTACATGCTCTGGTTGACCACAGGGGGGCACGGAACGCCTCTAGGGCTGATTTGCTATCAGATGGCCGGATATAACTCCCTAATTACGGGCGACTGAAGTAGTAGCACGCCATTCCTTAGTAGCTCCGACAATCCCCCAATGGCCGAGTAAATTAAGGACCGGGATGATGATAGGCCCGCTGTCACTGCAGTTGTCCTTCTTATCCCACCCCACCAGTAGCGTCTCCACTCTTCAACATCGACCAGTAATTGCAGTCCGTCACGATGTGGTGTTGCATTGGCCGGTGGGCATCCCTCCACACTGCAATTGGCACGGGAGGCCCTCCCCTCCACATTGTTTTGGCCTGTTGGAATAGTAGCCAATTGTCTTCTAGTCGGTCTCCCACACCATCGCCTTAATCATCTAGACCCAGACATACTAGTAAATAAGTAGCAACGTGCGACGGTGACGAGATTAATAATACACCTTTGAAGTGTGTTTGGTTTATTGAAAATAAGTGACCAACAATTAGGTGGTTGGAGTAATAATACCTCGCTGACTTCCACTCCAATGACCCCATCCGGTCTAGTAAGATGTGATTGTCAACCACCGTTTACTATACCTATCTCGACTAACTAATCCACCTTCTATGTATGCAATATGTCCGCGCTCCCCCATCTGTGGAGAAAGCTCCTCGGCCTGATTGTTGCATGATATGTAACCTTGCCAGTTGCAGTTGCCACTGCACATCCTCAAAGCCAGAGCATTGAATCGCTATTATACTAGCAGAATAATAGTGGGAAGCGCGCATACACCCAATAATACCCACTACTAACTAACAACCAATAATCACCACTTCCTCACACCCACTACTACTTTACTAAACAGGGATTCCCCCAGTAGTACATAACACACAAGCCCATTGAAAAGCTGACTCGACCGTTCCTGGTGCTACGCGGTCTCACCCTAAGCAACATAAGACCTACAGTAGCGTTATGCAGCCAGCAAAAGTAATTGAAATTAGCGCGCTGTTATTCATTCCCTCTTTATCATTATTATTTTTTTTTTCTCTCGATAATTGCTTTGCCAGGCTACCAGCTAGCCTAGCTAAACCTGTTTCATAAACTCGTAGTACCTCCCCTAGTAATTTTCCAAACTACTAATGCAAGTCGCTTCGTATCTAGATACATGATGGTATTACCCGCAGTTACTCCGAGGAGATTTCTCTTGACTTGTAAGTTTCACTACACTACACACTACACTTAGTTGCTATTAGATGTAATATTCATCCTTTCTATTTTACTCCAACCAGCTTGTGGAGTGGTGGAGCGGAACTGCGGCTGAGCCTTGACGATCCTGCACGCTACGGGAACGGGATTATGCTGGTTTTCTTGCTGTCTTGCTTGCTGGTGTGTGTAAGTTGTTCGGATGAGGGATATTTTAGGGCCCCAGAACGGTTGGTGTCGGATCACACTTACTTTACTACTCCATACTACTACTATTATTATTCTACGAGGGTTTTCGGATGAGTGGGATGTGAGGAAATGATTTTCAATTTATTAGAAATATCCAATTACTCACTCATCACTCACTCATTCATTTATCTTACTTATTCCCATTGTAGGGCAAAGTAGCTAAACTCCTAGACAAATAGGTAAGTTTACCTCGATAGCTCCCCACCACACCACACCTACTTACTTCTTAGTTCTTACTTCCGAGGTAGATAGATAGAAAGATAGATACTAGATACTTATCTATCCGTCTTTCCGTTCGCATCGCATGCGCACACACACCTAAATTAGCGCCATAGCGCTGGCCCCCTTCTAAAAGTCTTCCCGTGCCACGGGCCGCCGTGCAGAACGCGTTGCAGGAATGGAGAGGAAATTAACAGATAGTACATACGTACGGAGTAGATAGATAGGTAAGGAAGGTATCCACGTCCGCGCACACGCGCCCGGCCGCCCGTCATTTTAACCAGCCCACCACACCTACTTACCTTCTTACTGCAGTTTAGCTAGTAGCTACTGAGTTAGTAGAGAAGACCGGTTGGATGCACGGGCCTTTGGGTGGTCCCTGCATGTGGGATGGGAAAGTTACTATGTTATGTTATTTACTGGGTTATACGGTATTGGGTGGGTGGTCGGTGATGGATGATGGATGATGGATGTTGGGTGTGTGGTAGGTAGAGAGGAAGGGTAATTCAATTATGTCTATGTTGGTAGAAGTGAATATAGGGCACCGAATGAATGAATGACTGCCTGGTGAACCTGGCTGAGACATTAAACCTGTGCCAATGTATTTGGGTCTGTATGTATGGTAATAAAGGGTACCGGCTGTATGCAATCAGAAGCAACGGAGATAAGCCGATCCTTTAGTTCTGCGTGGTTATTCGATGTCACGGCCGAGTAACACTTTACTAACTTAGTAGTTTAACTCACTAATTTACTAGTAAGTTAGTTAGTGAATACTACTACCCGGGTCTGGCTGGACTGGACTGGACTGGACTGCTGCTGCTATTGCTATTATTGTCTCAATTCTCATGCACTGCACCCGACTCTAGACTGCACTTCCACTGTCACCTTCTTGATTCGGGATTCGCCTCCCTCCCTGCGTCTGAGATGGCCTATTTTCCCTTGTCTCGTTGCTGTTATTTTTGGGAGATGTAACGAGGGATGTCATGGTTGTCGGATGAAGATTGCCGATCAGGAAGTAACGTAGTTAGTTGGTGTGTATGTGTGTGTGTGTGCCAGCTGAGTCTGTTGTGGTGTGTGGTGGTGGTGTGTTGAGAGATTTCTCAGAATTCCAACACTTACTCCCTATGTACTACTCCGGTAGCATATACTTCCTACTACTTTCTATGTCTACCAGACAGTCTTGCATCTACTTCCGCTGCAGAGAACTGTCTGCTGACACCCACCGAACCTTGCAGAAGCCCATGCAATAATTCACATAACATTGCATACATACATAGAAGGGCTGTATTTCGCCGTGCTATAGATCTGGGCTGACGCGCTGCGCAGGTATGTCATCTGGCAGCAGAAGCTTGTTTGTCATTGTTTGTGGATTGTAACGCATGATTGGATATTGTAGGTAGGGTGCATAGGTCCTTGCTTCTTTGTAGGTCTGTTTCTGCTTTGCTGGGAGGATAACATGGGGTATTTCGTGGTCGATTGAGATAGGAAAGACTATTCAGAGAATTTATATCTCTATTCAAGTATTCGCTGTTGTACCTTGAACGTATCTAATGGGCTGAATGACCTTGATTGAAGGGTCCATGAATATCACATGCTTCGGTTCGGTGGTTATTATATAGACAAGAATATAGATCAGGGATACTCGTGCCATTTTCTAATCTGTGAGGTATTACGCTTTGGCATCAAATATCTTTGCATAATTCAGTGCAACAAATTACCTTAGCATTGCACGTAGAGGATCTTATGTGCAACGTCTCCAAGACCAATTGCAGACAGTGATGCGACTGCGTCAGACCCAACGGTCCATATTGTAGTGGTGGAATATTCCCTGAGTACATAAAAAGTGCAGACACTGCTGTTGTCAGTAGATGCAATGATAGATAATCCAATACTCAAGGTTATATAGCTACCTCGAGGGCCCCTGCGATGTCTGACGACCATGATATACTCATATTTTATAAGACTTCCAAAGTCCTACGTCTTTATCTTTGAGCTGTGATCAAGAATGTTACACTGGATGGTGCTATCCTGCTAAGCTGAGTCAGTGGAGCAGATTATCGGAGGTTATTCGGGTCATAGAATAGATTCCTTTGGTATTGGATGACACATATGGATGCACAAACGTTTGGCTGGGATACAGAATTGCTGTTTGAAGGCCAGAGCATAGGGGATTGATGCAGTGTACCTACGGAATGGTTTTTATCAACAGAGCGGCATGTCCGAAAAGACCTAGAACGATAGATCTTGATTCAATAGTTTTGCTAATGATCAAAGCATATGAATAACACAGATATGTTGTGCTGAGAACTCCCAAACTTGGGATGTGAAATATGTTATTTCTTGCTTGATAAATAACATCCACTAGCCATTGCACATAGATCAAAAACAGTATAAAGGCAACATATGTTCTAACAAATCCCATGGAAACCAGCAATCAAGGCCAGTAGTACTTTCCCTTCTCCAACGCAGTCAGAAGCTTCGCCTTCACCTTAACATAGCCATCACTTTTCAGCTCTGCAAAACCTTGATCAATCAACGAAGCCACCATTCCCCCAAACACTATGCTCCCCTCGTCGTTCAGATGCGTATAATCATCCGACGCCAAGTTGTACGTATACGCATCGGCCGGCCCGATACTATTCAAGTAATCCATACTCGCCTTGTTCAAATCAATATATGACGTGTCGGTATTCTTCGCAGCATCAATAGTCGCCGCTCGTTGGTCCGCCAAATCCTCAATCACGAGGGGCGTCCCAGTAGAATTATCATAGTTGCGACGAGACAAGGGCGTAACCAGAATAGGTGTGCCTCCTGCATTCTTGACATCTTTTGCGAATTGCTCCAGGTTACTGGTGTATTCAGCTATTGAGATGTTTGCGAAGGCCTTCTGGTCGTTGTGGCCAAATTGGATGGTCACAAAGGCTCGGTAGTCGGACTTGTATTCTTCCACTTTGGAGAGGACAGTGGCCCAGTCACTTCCGGATCGGAAACTGACTGTTGTGGCCCCGTTGTGGCCGTAGTTTATACCTTTGGCTCCGTTGTGAAGTGTCGTGTTGATAAAGCCATTGCCCCAGCCGCCTCCACCGCTGGATTGGACGGCGGTGGTGCTGTCGCCGGCTAGGAGGAAGAATGGAGGTATATCATTCCTTGACGAGAGGGGAGATGGGAGGGCGAAAGCGGAGGTCAAAAACATGGAAAGGAAAGAGAGCTTCATTGTGACTGCTGGGGATTCTTGTCTGTGAACCGGCGTAGGTCATGATGTGCAAGACACCACCAGCTGCTTTATATCGCATATTTCCCGGCATTCGAGCAAATGAAATGAAACGATTCCACCAACTGGAAAAATGCTAAAGCCAAGTCCTGCGTATAGGGCCGATGCAAATATGCAGATCTCACCGCGTTGCGTTGGTCGTGGTCGATGGTACATCCAGGGTTTTGTCATTGGACAAAGATAGCCAATGCAAGAGTGAGTAGAGCAAGCCAAGTGTTTGCATCATTGGATCAATATGCAACTCGGTATGCTTTGAACCGCGACTCCGAAGCCACAGGCATGGCGCTGAAATAAAATCCCGACGAAAAGAGGGGAAGCCACAGGCGCCTCCCAAGCCCGAGCGAGGGTAATCCGGGGTAAATGGCGGGGAAGGTCTGAAGAATTGTGAGCAAGTGAATATAGGCCAAGTTGAAGGATATGTAGTAATACTGACCAACCTGGTTTTCATTTGCTTGAAATCATTCAAGCTGACCATACGCACCTGACAACCAGCAGACAAAGCATTTATAAATATAAGTTTTGTCTGTCAGGATCGTGAATCACTGGAAGCTCGCGACTTCAGTAGGAAAATGTCGCACCTCATGGTTAAGACGATGTTAGGACTCCTTTGCTGAACTTCATTCACTTGATGGGAATTCTGCTGTGTGCATGGATCGAGTCTGATACATATGTTTTTTTTGCACTTTTCTTGAAGCTGATTGCAACCGCCGGTTCTTATCCACAAACAAAAAGCCCATGTGCGTAGATAATCATAACTCAGATACAGATAAAGACGGAAATGATGGCGCGTGAGCTTATCACTTGGCGAGATTGGCATCGCCATCTCCTCCCTCTTTCGGCAACGTGATAACTCTGATAACATCGGCTGTCTTTCTGATTGATCGTCCGATGATCCAGCCTCTTATCGCGATCCGTGTCTTGCTCCTCCACGAATGGCATCACTCAGTATGCTTCCCCAGACTCTTCGCTGCAACTTTGCATTATCTCCATCTGCAACCCAAGCTATACTTATCAATTCCTGCCGTCAATGCAGACGGACGGTAAAGTTTATAATGGATGGCCTCGCAGTCCACATCCACAGTTTTGCCAAAGTCAGCCATGGGAAAGTCAACCTCGGTAGCCAGCGTATCCAGAGAGTCTGGAGACGATAGTCTCTCTCATACAGAAAATGGGACCGTCATTAATTACCACGAAACCAAGCGTGGGCTTTCCTCGCGCCATGTGCAGCTAATGGCCATTGGAGGATCGATTGGAACGGGCCTTTTCGTCGGCATTGGTTCTTACCTCCGTGATGCTGGGCCTTTGTCCCTGTTCTTGGGATATCTCTTTTATGGCATACTATTCATCTGGCCCACGAACCTTTGCGTGGGTGAAATGTGTGCCTACTTGCCGATCAGGGGGTCAATCTTCGAGTTGGCAGCGCGGTACATCGATCCAGCATTCGGATTTGCCATGTATGGAGCCCCAAATCATCGTTGAATCTTGTACTGACACTTGTAGGGGCTGGGTATACTTCTATGGCGGACTCATGCTTCTCTGCACCGAATACTCGGCTGTGGCGACAGTCATGCAGTACTGGAACACCAGCGTCAACCCAGCCGTATGGGTTGCTATGGCCATGGTCGTATGCTTCCTCCTAAACATCGTCGCCGTCAAATACTATGGCGAGACCGAGTTCATCATGGCCTCCACCAAGATCCTCCTCCTCATCGGCCTCGTCCTCTTGACCTTCATCACCATGCTGGGCGGCAATCCCCACCACGACATCTACGGCTTCCGCAACTGGACCCACGGCGTCATGTATGAGTACTACACCACTGGCAGCACCGGCCGCTTCCTGGGCTGGTTCTCCGTCGTCATCTACGCCGCTTTCTCCGTCGCCGGACCCGACCTCCCAGCCCTGGCCGCCGGCGAAATCGAAAACCCGCGCTTCACGATCCCCCGCGTCGTCAAAATGACATTCTACCGCATTGTGGGCTTCTACGTTATCGGCGTACTCGCCGTGAGCATCATCTGTTCCCCAAATGACCCGCGTCTCATCAGCGCCATCGAATCATCAGCGGCCGGATCCGCCGCCTCCCCATGGGTGATTGGCATCCAGAACCTCGGCATCCACGGTCTCCCTGGCTTCATCAACTTCCTCATCCTCCTAGCCGGCTAGTCTTGCGGGAACGCCTACCTCTACAGCTCCAGCCGCACCCTCTACTCCCTCGCGCGCGATCACCAAGCCCCCGCCTTTCTCCTGAAATGCACCTCTGCCGGAGTCCCCATCAACTGCGTCCTCGTCGTCTCCCTCCTCTCCTGTATCACCTTCCTCGTCGCTGATACCTCTGCGGTGACGGTCTTCTACTGGTTCGTCGATCTCACCACCGCCGCCTTCATCCTCACCTACACCGGCATGGTCTGCGTCTTCCTAGCCTGGTACCGTGCCCTCAAGGCACAGGGCATCGATCGGAAGACGTTCCTTCCCTGGGCATCGCCGTGTCAGCCGTACGCGGCTATTGTGGCATTGATCATCGGGTGCTCGGTGACGCTGTTCAATGGGTTCACGGTATTCGTCCCGTTCAGTGTGGAGGGGTTCGTGACTTCGTACTTTGGCGTGGCGTTCTGGGCGGTCATGTTTGTGTTTTGGAAAGTCTATCAGGGTACCAAGTTGGTGGATCCGGCAGAGGCTGATATCTTCTCTGGCAAGGCTGAGGTGGATGCTGAGTGTCGGGTTTGGGAGGATGGGGGGTTCTTGGAGAGAAGGAGGGCGGAGTTGGCTAGTATGCATTGGGCGAGGAGGTGGTGGGAGAAGATGTGGTAGAATAGGTAGAGAGATAGAGGGCAGTATCTGGGAGATATGTATTTGGGGGTATTCGCTGTAACACTTGAACAAATGATAGGATAGGACTCGTTGCTGGGAAATTGAGGCGCTGGTTGACACCGGCTGATTGTTCTTCCACCATATCCTAGAGACCACTGCGAAGCGAGACACGAGGGGGTTGATATGTTCAGTGACGAGAATGGTGGTAAGTCATCTATTTTTGCTTAATTTCTATCAAGTTTCATACCGATCTGAGGTATAATTCTATGGAAAAAGAGGTGAAGACTCGGGCTTACAAAGGTTGTCCGGAGTAGTACGGTCCGAGGATGAAGTATCATCAAGGCGACTGGACCTCATTGTGCCAATCACGATTCGTAAGAGACCACAAGAAAATTTCAAATACTAAACAAGCCAGTGGGTTTTAGTATCCAATAAAGCTTTTCATTCTCAAAGCGTCTACGTCAGCGTGGAACCGCAAGTTACAACCGCGGTCACCGGACACAAGCGAGAGTACTACATCTTTATATATAATCTCAACCGCAGCATCATGATAGAAGATCTGACTCTCAATTTTATCTTCCTCCAAAAAAGACATTTCTACTAGTTATTTACCTCTTAGTATTTAATACTCAACATGCCCTCCCAAACATCCATCATCCAATCCATCTACGATGAACGCAGCACCAACTACGACACCTCCCACCACGGCGCCCTAGCAGAAGCATACATCCGCACCGCCGCGCCCCGCGAAGGCGAATCTGTTCTTGACCTGGCCTGCGGCACAGGTCTTGTTTCCTTTCTCGCCGAACAAGCAGTTGGAAAATCCGGCCTCGTTGTTGGAATCGACATCAGTCCTGGTATGCTGGATGTGGCGCGTCACAAAGCCCAGCAGACCGGTTCGGACGTCATTTTTCTCCAACATGATATCTCTGATTTAACAGGTATTGGATTGGAAAGTCTTCTTCCACGTGGAGAGGAGGGCTTCGATTTGATTACTTGTGCTGCGGCGTTGGTGTTGCTGCCTGATCCCGGGAAGGCGATTAGGGGTTGGATGCGGTGGTTGAAGCCTGGTGGGAGGATCGTGACGGATGTGGCGGCGAGGGATGTTCATGTTCCTAGTAGAATTTTCAAGAAGATTAGTGGTGATTTGGGGGTGCAGCTGGTGTGGGATGAGAGTTGGGTACAGGGGGAATGGTCTTTGAGGGAGCTTCTTGAGGGCGCTGGGTTGGTTGTCAAGACAGTTTTCTTGACGGAGTCGTTTCAGGATCGTGTTTATCATGTTTCTGATGCGGAGGATGTTTTTGAGAAGGCTGTTGCTAGTCCCATGTTTCGAAATTTTGGTGATTTGAGGGTTAGGAGTGAGGCAAAGAGGTTGTTTGTCGAGAGGTTTGTTGTAGAAGCGGGTGCGAAGGGGGTGTTGGCCGATGAGGCGAAGATGTATATGGCTGTCGCGTATAGGCCGTAGAGGCTTCTATTGTAATTTGTTAATATTGGGATGTTTGAATTGAATGAAGGTAGTGATAAGGTGTAATGAGTCTACACATTGGAGACCGTATCTGGCAGTGTGGTAGCACTTATTTGCGGCAAGGGCTCTGAAACATTTTGGGCAGGAGAAAGTGACAGACTTATTGTGACACCAGGACCATCTCTACCCATGTCAGGGAGCTGACACACTTATCACTGAGTTTGAAGGGCTTAGCTGAGTGTCTTCCAGGCCTCGAATACTCAGCAAGTATCCGATCCAACACAATAACCTTTGTTGGTAGATAACGGGCCTCCTCTCTTTTTGTACTTATGCAAAGTAACCCTAGATAGATGGTCTCATACACAATCGAGAAAGAGAATTATGAGAGCGGTTTGTCAAAATGATCCCCTTGATCTACTCGGATTGAATTACTCTCAAAGTGCGAATAGGACCGCACTCGCATACATACCATGTGTTGATATTACTTTCCACCAAGACTACTAATAATATATATGGGTGAATCTGTGTAAAACACCGCATTCAAACATTACGAGCGAAGCTCAATGACAAAACACATGTATCAACAGCTTCGTACTACTCTTCATTGATAAATCTAGAAACAAAGACAGAATTTCTAGGCACGATACACCGCAGGATGCAATGGTGTTATTTTCCCGACCTACCGTAGCCGACAGTTCAAAGATAGCGGGCATTGGGAGGTACTTAATGTTTACAGGTGCATAGTTTGTGAATGTTGATGTTTGGCCGTCTAAGGGCATAGCACATGATCTCGTTGTCTTCTTCGTGTCTCCTTATCTGTATTGTATGTACGTTTGCTGGATCAGCAACGAAATTCACATTTCGAACTGGTCTGACACTACTTTATCTACTTCATGAACATCTTGGTCGACATACCACCAATGCAATTACTGGAAGATGCCATTCATATCGCTATCACAGGCTCGTGACCGACCGACTGGTTTCGAATGGTATGACCATCGTCAATTCTTTCACCTTCTCCTAAGTTCTCGAAGGGTACATCTCCGGCTCAGCTGAACCCGTCAGATATGATGCTTGGATTCCAACTCCACTCTTCGCATTCTTCGATTTTCCTAAAGCTGTCGCTCTAAGGTCACATTATGAATCCTTTGAGAATGGGCTGGTTAAGTACAGGCTAACAAAACTGACATCTCAATATCAGGCACGCTTTGACCTCTGAACACTGAATCATGTTTCGGACTCACTGAGCCAAGCATTCTCCACGGCAACAATCGGTTCGAAAGATGCAATGCCTGCTGATGAAAATAAATTTGTTGCTTGACACACAGCTCAAATACGACTCAGTCAAATTTCTCAACGATATGTATGATATACACGAAGAATGGGACAACCCTATGGGAATTTGTGGACTATGCCGTGGAGTTGGGCGGCATACTTGTAATCAGCGGGTGAGACATGGGCCCGCAACGGATACTCCTTGCTTTCTCTTCGAATCCCGAAGAGCATGACACCTGTCGAACTATGAAAAGACTGGCTCTATAGTAGCACATCGCCGCTGTCATGGTGGAAGGTTGTTACACGATGCCATGTCAAATGATTAGTCTACTATCCTTATTACCAATAGGATTGTACACGATGACCGCAACCTGCAAGGCCTTTGTCTCAATGCCACACGAAATAGCTCCAAGAGTTGGAGAATGTATATCTTAGGGTTAGCAACATTGCGAGTACGTCACAAGGCCATCGCGCCACAGTGTAAGGAGAGCTTCTCGCCCTGTGCCGGAAAATACAACCGCGACGTATAATTGGAACAGTGCATGTCATAATGAAGAGCCACAAAGATGCCTACAGCTGTGACTCAGGTCCTATTCGTTGATTGAGTCGGGATTCAAAAGAATCTACACCATATGAAAGGCCTGGACGCATGAAAGTACTAGAGACGTGGTGTGTCTATCCCGAAGTCATGTTCCACTAGAGCAGAATATTGGTCTTCCTCGATAATGAGTATTATGGCTGTTGCCTTGTTCGGACGGTGCGCAGCTCTCTTATTATCAGTATTTTCCATGCGCACTGGAGACGTCCTTGCCAAGCTCGACTATGGGGGAGGAGCGGCATCAGCCGTCTCTCAACTTCGAGTGTAGCAGTTCTGGAATATTGTACCCGACCACAGAGAGCATGATTGGGCTGGCGGCTTAAGGGGTAATGTTTCCCGTCATTATGATTGGGCCCTAATTAAATGATGCTGGGACACTGTTCTTGAGGTATCCCCGGTATGCTGCTTCTAAAAATTCTGTCCTCCCATTGCTCACCTGGTGTGGTTTTATCATCTCTTCTTTATCTTGCTACTATGTCGATAATCTACTTTTATTATGTTTTTGATTTTATATTTGTCATCGCTTGCTGAGTCTGTATTTCGGTCTGGTCGCATCAATACCAGCCCGACCATGAAGCCTCCTCTGCGGCAGTCCCTTGCAGGATGGCAACCTGTGCTGGATTGTACCCTCTGGAGATCTTCATCCTATCATGACCATTGCCAGTGATGAAAGTGCGTTAACGGTGGTGCGGCTGCCCGTGAACACGAGATGTACCAGCAAGAAGGCACGGCTGCATCGCACGGCCCGGCCCTCCAAACTTGGGAAATAGAACCGGGTAAACAAACAGTGATCGGGGGCCACGAGACCACTGGTATCTGAGTAATCTTACATGAATTGCTTAAACTCCAACGTCCAGTTCAATCGGTTACACAACATCGTCACTTGTGAAGGCAGGTACAGGCTTAGCGTAATTGATATATTCCCATTCTCGGCTGCCTCGCCCATAACTGATGGACTTCAAACCTCTACGATAGATATAGCTGGCCTCATTAATTGACAGGCCCTCAAAGAGATGGCAAGCCATGGCTTTTGGAGCTCCTACAAACAGCCCACTCTGGTTGGCGGAACTCATTCCCCGTACGAGAATAGAATTGCCTGGATCATTAGGAGTAATCATCTGTGGTGGTGGGTGATCCGCGAAGTTACAGCCATAGTGAGATGTTGATGGATGAAGGGCAGGATACCGGATCCCATTTCCTGGTATGCGGCCCAGCAATGTGGGCGGGTTTATTATCTGTCCACCAGACCATCTTTCCCAGTCTGCCAATCATCTCCCTTCACCTCCATCCCACTGTACCTGTGAATCGAGTCAGTGTCTGGTCCTGTTGCAAGTCCCAGCAAACCAGCGTCTCGGAACGCCGATCTCCCTGTTTACCCCTTGCCGCCGATGGGGATGCCGTGACGCCAGGTGCGGGCGGCAAAGATCCCCACCAATTCAGCTAGCGGCCTGAAGGAATAGACGTGAGGCTGATGGTTAGGTGCATGGGACCAGTTGGGAGGATAAAAATTCCCAAAGAGGCTGCGGGAACACTTCTGTCCTTGTCCGTGGAAGCGAAATGATCATCCTGATCGGCTCAGTTGCAGCGAGGAGCTTTCACCTTTCTTCTAGGGTTCGGATCATGGGAATCCAAAACAACACGACTGCGTATTGACTAATATCAGATAAGGTAGGATTAAAATAAAGGCAACAACCCAGGCAGATGCCCCAGATCCTCGGTCCGTGCGCAAGGAGCGTAGCATACTTCAAGCCAGCTATGCTTTAACTGCATGGCGCTGACTCGGATCTCCGCTAGACTTTATGAAGGCAGTGCTTATTATCTATGGGGTAGTTGATGCACAATCATGCCATCGTGTAGATGTCATGACTCGGTCGATAAGAGGCCTTCGGGCCTCGACCTGCGTAACCATCATTAAAGAGACACGCATTGAATTCGACCTGCAGACATTCCGTGACGACCGATCGTCGACAAAATTCATTATATACATAAAGGCGGACAGCCCAAAGCGCGCATCTAGTGACAGGTCACAAGGCCGGTCTGAAGTGCGGTAGCGATAGGCTAACCACCCTACATGCACAGTCCCTCTGCTGCCGAGGATGCTGACCCCGGAGAGACCCCTGGCCCTTATTGGGAACTATGTCAGGGGCCTCCCCAGGCTTGTTCTCATGACCCTGATCCTGCGGAGTGGCCTCAATCAGGCAGCATGGTTACTCCATTCGATGAGCCCCTCACAGAGGAAATTGTCATTCCCGAGTCTCTTCTAGCTGCCGCGTCACTCAGACAGCTATGGAATCAGGCGTCCCTGCAACCCTGGTCCCCGCAGCCGATTGCTCCAAACCCAGCAGAGGAGGTGTCTGTCACCAAGCGAAGAAAACCTGGCGCCAGCTATCCGGCCACTGGAGTAAATCCAGGCGATGCCCGACGGCGACAAACGAGTCATTCGGGGGTATTGGAGGAAGGCAGAGGGACAATATACCCGCTTCTAGAGGACCAGGTGGTAGTGGAAACGCCGCATGGACCCCAGGGAGTGTATCCAGTGGAGCTCGAAGGTTGCATCCCTCATACTGCAGCTCCTGACGGCGCAGGAGTAGTTCGGGCTGTCAGCGAACAGCCTTCCATTAGGCCGGACCCCCCTCCTGCCATCGAAACGAGAAGGTTCAGTGAACCCGCAAAAGCTTTTCGCCAGTCTTTGCGGAGTGTGGTGGGTCGAGCCCGCGATAGCAGCTTGGGAACCCTCTACAACAGGGCGACTTTGGTGAACATTAAGCACGAAAGGAGATACTGGGTCCAGTTGGTGATCGAATATGGCACATACACGGTCTACGTCGCATTCGTGTATTTCGTGCTGGTGGGGATGCCTCTGTGGAAAGGTGCTATCTACTGGCTGTACTGGTTGATGCGCCACAAGTTCATCTTACAGGGAGGCTGGGCCATTGTCATCAGCCTAGCAGTCTTGTAGGTTTCTGCCCATCCGAAGCCATGAGTAGACGTCGCTTATTGTTCCGTGCTCGCGTCTACCTAGTTACTCGTTCACGCCACTTCTCGCTACCTTTGAAAACGACGCTCCGGATCACGAGTTCTATGAGAGTCGCCGCATCAGTCCGACAGCCCCCGATACTGCGTTGCTCATCCCCTGCTACAGAGCGGCGTCTGTTTTAGGCCGGACCCTCGAGGCAGCCTTGAAGATCTTCCCTCCATCACACATATTCGTGATCGCGAATGGAGATGCCCTGACACCAATTGACCATACTGAGGAGGTTTGTCGCCCCTATGGAGTTAATCATATTTGGAGCCCAGTCGGATCGAAGATCATCGCCTTATTTGTTGGATGTTACGCTGCTAAGAAATTTCGCTATGCTCTTCTTATCGACGACGACTGCATCTTGCCGCCTACCTTCCCCGTCGTAGTGTCCCGGCTTAGCGACACTGTCCGCTGTATCGGCTACACGATCAAGGCTGTTGCTGCGGACTACTCTCCAGGAACATACTGCCAGCAAGCGCAGGATCTAGAGTACAAGCTGGCGGGGCTGCAGCGCACCTTCGCTGGACGCATCGGCAGCGCTACATTTCCTCATGGGGCCATTTCTCTTTGGGAACGCTCATTTCTCCGAGACACCCTTCAGGATCATCCCGGATTCTCCATCAGCGAGGACTGGTTCCTGGGCAACAGCTGTCGACGGCTCGGAGGAAGAATCCAGATGTGCAGCTCTGTGTTTGTGGAAACCCACGCACCCCCTTCATTTCTCTTTGCTGCGGGGAAAAGACGGGGTGGGTTTGGGGAGATGACCGTTTTCAAGCAGCGATTTATGCGGTGGAACTTCTTTCTTGTCAACGGCCTGCGGTACAATGTAACTTACCTCGTAAAATCGTGGAAGTTGGGAGTTTACGAAATCGGCACGAAAATATTCGTACTGCAGGAGGTATGTCCATTGTCTTTTCCCCTGAACTCTCAAAGAGTTCCAAGACCAAAGATGTGACCTAACGTGCACCAGTTATATGAGACTGTGCTTGCCATTCTAGCCCCGTTTATCCTCCCAATATCCCTCGTCGTGCGCCCAAAGTTTTGTATTTGTCTCATCATGGCTACCTTCGCGCTGTACCTACTGAACGCCATTATCTTCAACGAGATCCACCTGCGATTGAAGCAGGAGCGGATCAGCTTGAAAATTATCATGTTGTACTATGTAAGATGAGCTTCCCAATGAAATATTGCGGGATGGATTCGAATTTAATCTGAAAACGCAGATGCCATACAAGATCATGATCGCCATTATCAACGTCGGAAGCAATTACTGGTCACTGTACAAATATGCCTGGTACTTTGCCAAGCGACGGCCCAAGCTCACGGAAGACCACAAAGCGGTTGGACTGGTACTGAAACTGGAAGAGAGTGCGCAGAACCGTGGCCCTGGTTCCACTGGGCTGGGACGCAACTTGACGGTGCGCTCTGTTGGCGTGCGATGGAGCAATCGAATGAGCAGTGGGCCGGGCCTAGCTGGGTTTCGCAACCGGTGGTCCCTACAAAGCCACGCTGAAGAGCCGGAGGTAACGGATGTTGTAATTGAGCACTACACATAAGCTTCGCGCGGAAGCAACCTAATATACTACTGTGGATAGAACATTCAACCCTCTTTCTAGGTTCGCAACGCCTTCGATGCACTAATCTCTTAGCACTGCGATGCCTTGCATCTTCCCGTTAACCCTAATCTTAATGTTCGACAGCCCACCGCCATAAAACTATCTTCAGCACGAGAGCGCCGCCGTGGCGATAGCCGTGGCTACTACTGTTGAAGCCTTGTCAAGGTGTATATGCATTCATCTGAATCTATTGAAGTTGGTAACCGAATCATTGGATTGAATACTCCTACCTAAGTTGGGCATCCCGGATTTCTGTCAAGATGGTTTGTGAACATTCTTCCTTGTACTACACCATCAACATAACCATCCGTCAACATACGTATCGCACAAATTTCGGCTTGACAAGTTCTTCCTCCTTCATACTCCGAGAATACCTCTGTGGAAAATACCCCCCGACCATGAATGAATGTCTGAATCGGTGGGAATGGCATGTCATTTACAATGAATCAATGAGGCTCTCAATCCTTTTCCGTTGGTTAAAGTTTGCATTTGGCATGTCTGTCGCCCCTTCTGAAGGAGGGGGTGGCTTTGCTCATTTTATGACACGTTGCACCCTAACATTCCTGCACATCCCACATCCTAATTAGGTCTACGGTCATCCCTGGCGGATATTTCCGAATTAAAGTTTTTTTGTTTTGCTTCTTTCTTGTTTTCTTTTTCTGTGAGTTGATAGGAATTTTGACATGAGTCGTGATGATGTGTGATTTGGGCGAGGCTGCTGTGTGGCTATGCTTGTATGCATGTTGTTATCTCTGCATGGTAGGGATGGTGTTGGTCGGTGGGTATGATAGCTAATTAGCTGGCTGGAGGCTTGACCTTTCTTATCTTTGTGTCATGTGCGAGAGACCTTCATCATTTGCATACTGGTTAATATCTTGATGACTTGCTCAACCTCGGGTTTTGGTCTTGGTAGTGACATGGCACTGGATACATCCACCATGCATCTCTGGCAGTGGCCTGGTCGCGATTAATGCTGCAAACATATTTCTATACTGGCTCTTGAATTCCATTGCAGTCTGCTTTTCCCTTCTGAGGAACAGTGGCAACAGACGGCGGTCGCAGTGGTGACTTTCTGGACGAGGATGTCTCAAATCGTCATACTATTCTCACAACACTTCGTCTTGCTGCTCTGTTAAGCTAATCCCTAGTATATCGTTCAGAACATTTGTCGGCGTGGAAACGCCATAGAGTACACCAGAAGACGGACAGCAGGCGGGGTACATGCAGCTGCAGCATTTGTTATTCAATCATAGCATCGGATATGCTCCGAGAGCTGCTGCTGTGCAACCCAATTGACCGCAAAGGATAATATCTCTTTGTTTGGTTCGCATCGACCCTCTCTACCCCGCACAACTCCCAAGAACAGCTCAACCCCCTCAGTATCATGCAGCAGAACTCACCATTGACCACTAAACAGCTGCAGGAATACGAATGCATCGAGCTCGTGTCGGCCGACAATGTCTGTCCCTCGATACGAGGGCCCAGGAGTAATCGGTATATCAGGTTGATCCCTTTCCTCTTAGCTGCCGGGTAGAGCTACTATCCAGCTACCCTGTCTACCAAGTCAGCCACTTCCATCATGCGTCTTCTCAACAAGGTTGCCCTCATCACTGGCTCGTCCTCAGGCATTGGACGAGCCATCGCCTTGCGTTATGCTCGGGAAGGAGCCAAGGTTGCCTGTGCGGATATCACTCCGTCTGCACGCTCGCCGGTGCCGAACGAACTGGACATTACTACCCATGATGCGATCAGCCAGAAGGGAGGACAGGCCTTCTTCCTCCAAACTGATGCGGGAGATGCATCACAGATGGAAAATGCGGTGCTGAAGACTGCACAGCAGTTCGGTCGCTTAGATATGTATGTGTGACATGACACCAAGATTGAATTTCCTAGAAACTGACGACTTGACAATCTATATGTAGTATGGTCAATAATGCAGGCGTCTCTCTTGAATCCCGTACCCCGGCCCGCATTCATGAAACCACCAATGAACTCTTCGATACTACCATGCGGATTAATACCCGCTCGGTGTTCCTGGGCAGCAAGTATGCCATCACGCAGATGTTGAAGCAGGATCCGCATCCATCGGGCGATCGGGGATGGATCATTAATCTGTCATCCATTCTTGGGATCGTGGCAGCGACAGAAAATCGTAGGTTGAATTGATGTACATGGCACAGTATCGATAATGATGCTAAGCTGTGATAGCATCTTACTGTGCCTCCAAAGGGGCTGTGAGTAATCTCACGCGTCAGGTAGCGTTGGATTATGCGCGCGATCGCATTCATGCGAATGCTATTTGTCCGGGTTGTAAGTATCTTCACTTCGTTTTCTAAGTCTCCATTGTTGGGGTATTCGTGAGTGATGACTGACAAGGCATATAGATACCCGAACAGCCATCTATCAAGAAACGACGGAGTACATGCACGCCGCGGAGGACTTGATCCGACGACATCCCTTTAATGGGCCCGGGTTGCCGGATGACATTGCGCGGGTCGCCGTGACGCTGGCGAGCGAGGATGCCAATTGGATGACGGGAGCTGTGATTCCTGTTGATGGAGGGTATACTGCGCGGTGAGGCCGCTCCGAATACATGCAGTGTGGGTAGAGCATAGTGAAAGCGAACATTTGATGCCGCTGAATACTCTGAGCCGCACCTCAATATTACAACTAGTAGTATTATTCTTTAATGTATATGTCACATTAATGAGAATAAGTAATGGATTGGTCCCTGACCTGTAAGAGAACTGATATGAGATGATAGACAATACAGCTCGTAGAGAAAAAGATAATTTAAATTCTGCAAATTTAAGTCGTAAACGTGAAGACAATCTTCTCTCATAATGGAGATAAATAATATCCCAGAGTACAGGCTTTAGATGGACCATAATAAAAGATAATTCTGTCAGAGATAGGATTATAACAATGATAGATTACAGATATGCAATCTGCTAAATCCAAGTTTTCTTAAGAGTTAATTCTCAATTCAGTACCACCAGTGGTGCTTTTCTATCGTTGCACAACCACCCCCAAGACAGTACTACTACTAATATGTGTGGAGAACAATATATCCTTATGACGGCGTTTGGCCGCAGCTGCTATGCCAATTGAAACAAGCACCTTGCCAATAAAGCGCTGCGGAGCATATACTTTGTGAGCTTTGGAATCTTATTGGAAAGTACTACGTCCAAGCTATCTTGGACTGCTACTTTTAACTTTAAGCTCTTCTGGAAAGCATCGACGATAGACATGGTGTGCTGTCTTCGGACCCAAACACACCGATACCTGCTTGATATGCAGCCTAGCAATACGCGGCACAATTCCTAGGCACCCGGATAACTCGGTTCTCCGTCGTCGTTGAAACAGACGCTAACCCGCAAACAATATCCGGAGAAACGAGCAGGCAGTGGGTGGCAAGGCGGATGGCCTGCAGCGGGTGGAGCATCGCCGCGGGGATTTCGTTTCTAATGCAGACCGAGATGCAAGAAGGAAAGCAGTGTCCATCACTCAGAAGCGAGCGATTAGCTGACGAGCAAACGATGAGCTAACGATCAGTCATTTGTGGCAGTCATGAACAGACCGAAAAAGCGATAAGTGGCAAGCAGATGTAAGAATGCTTTCTAGAAGCACAATCGGAATCCCACCGAGCCGACCAGGGCCAGGGTCACCGCACCAATCAGCGTGCAGCGGAGACGCGGCTATCGTCGGGGCGCGGCAGGGTTGGGCGGGGCGGGAGCCTTTCTGTTACTTAATTTTAACCTCTCTTTTGCCTCATTGGTTCGCCCTGCTAAAAATACACTAAAAGAAACTGCTGGCCGGTGGGGCAGGAACACCAGGATCTTCCCTTTTTCTTTTTTTCGCTAACTAACTATGCTGCTAATAAGGAAAATTGTATGAGAAAAAGAAAAAAGCTAGATACAGATGCAATTAGCGGGTGGGCACGGCCCTCGGCCTCTCAACGGACAAGCTACGCCCGCGCTCCCCCCCGATGTAGTAACCGCGATTCAACGGTGGCAGGGTATCTACCTACCTTTCTATCTTCTGGTTCTTCCTTCCTTCTTCCTTTCCTTCTCTCATCTGGCCTTTCGTCTTCCTCCGTGTTCAACCTCGACCTTTGTGTGGCCGGCAGCTCATCCTGCAGAGGCTCAGCCAGCGGAGGACTAGATCGTCATCGACCCACCCGTGAGAATTTTTTAGTATCAGTTTCACGTTCATCGGCACTTTAGCTGCTGCTGCTACTGCTGCTGCTACTTGCGTCTATCTGCAACTAGACACAGCTCCCATTTCTAGTCACGATGCGTTTGGACGGCGTTGCCCATCCGCCCGATGCGGTTGAGCCCAAGAGTCAGCGGGAGAAGGATGAGGACGTGGAGGACCTCAAGGCGATCGATGGTGCGCCCGAGGTGGACGCCTTTGGCGATGAAGCTAATGCGGAGGTCAAGTACAAGACCTTGAAGTGGTGGTAAGTACTTCTGTCGCGCGTGGTGATAGACAAAACTAATGGCACTAGGCAATGCGGAATGTGTATGTGATCAGAACGATAACTGCGAATTGTGAGATACTAACCAGCCTAGTCATGATTGCTGAATCCGTGTCGCTCGGTGTCTTGTCTCTTCCGGCTACTATGACGGCCCTGGGTCTTGTTCCGTAAGTCAGCGCCTCAATGCTTCTGCGCTGCGACTAACCGGTGCAGCTCTCTCATTCTCATCATCGGTCTCGGTATCCTCGCCCTTTACACTGGTTATGTCATTGGTCAATTCCGTGAACGCCACCCTTACATCCACAACCTTGCCGATGCGGGAGAGATCCTCATGGGCGCTTTTGGCCGGGAGTTGTTCGGTCTGGGCCAGATCCTTTTCTCTATCTTCATCATGGGTAGCCACATTGTCACCTTCACTGTCATGATGAACACCATTACCGACCACGGTACCTGCTCCATCGTGTTCAGTATCGTCGCGTTCGTCATCTGTCTGGTTCTCTCGCTGCCCCGCACCATCAAGAACTTGACCTACATCTCCACTGCCTGTATGTTTCCGTTCCCCATCTATGCAGGACGACGCTAATGGATTAGCCTTCCTGAGTATCTTCTCTGCGGTTATGATCACCATGATCGGTGTCGGTGTGCAGTACAAGGGCGGACAGAACATCAGCATCACTACCGAGACCAACCTGTACACGGCATTCAGTGGTGTGACCCAGATCATGTTTGCTTACTGCGCCCACGTCGCCTTCTTCGGTCTGATCGCCGAGATGGAGGAACCCAAGGACTTCCCCAAGGCGCTGTGCCTGCTGCAGGGCTTCGAAATTTCTCTCTACGTCACCGCCGCCATCGTCATCTATTACTATGTGGGTAATGGAGTTGACTCGCCGGCTCTGGGATCGGCTGGTCCTGTCTTGAAGAAGGTGGCCTACGGCATGGCCATTCCTACTGTGAGTCTACCCTCTTTCGGTGTTCGAGGATTTGTTCTGATGTGTGTAGATTATTGGTGCTGGTGTGGTCAACGGACATGTTGGTCTCAAGTACATCTATGTGCGCATCTTCCGCAAGTCGGGACGTATGCACAAGAACGACTGGGTCTCCGTGGGATCCTGGGTCGGTATTGGCGTGACCTGCTGGGTGATTGCTTGGATCATCGGCGAGGGTATCCCCTCTTTCAGCAACCTGGTCAGTCTGATCAGTTCGCTGTTTGCCAGTTGGTTCAGTTTCGGTCTGCCGGGTGCCTACTGGCTGCACATGAACTACGGGCAGTGGTGGTCAAGCCCGAAGAAGTGCGCCCTGACCATCATCAACATGCTCATCTTTGCCATTGGTGGTGCTATGGTAAGTTTTCTCCCATTCATCATAATGTGAGTTTTTGCTAATTGTGTAGTGTGGTCTTGGTCTGTACGCGTCCGGCAAGGCGATCCACGACGACTCTTCCCGGTCCAGCTTTTCGTGCGCCAACAATGCATAGAGTACTTGGAAAATAATTGGATGACTAGACGACTAATGGGAGGCGATTTAATGTATATAAAAGCACAATCCATAGAATCCGTATAATTTCGTGCTGAGCACGTCAATCAATGTGCATACTGTTCACAATGCCTGCTTATTATATCCGAGAGAGCAGATATGACTCGTGCCATAGACCTGTTCGTCTATCTGCCAATGATTTGAGAACAGAGGACAAATTCCATCTAATAGTCCGATCAGACAACACCTTCAGATGAAGACAAAGTCACATGGTGGATACTGAGCTACGGCCCTCACCACACGGGAAGGTGCAACAACTTGCCCGTTACACACTGGCTATGTCTCGGGGATGCATTGATTGTTTGAGTTGTGCTAGTTAGCTCACGTTATGCAAGACCATGGTTAGTCTGATCAAATCAATCCAATTGTCGAGGGTGAGATCTGGTCTGTGGATGGAGACTGCGGCTGACGTTGCATGTGAAAATGCGGCTGAGGTGGACCGATGATCTGGTGATGATACGGACAGACAATTCATCGAATTCTAATTGAAATTCAGAGATCGCAGATTGTGCTATACAGAGAAATGGATAGTGCATGTACATCACTCCAATGAACATCGTATTTCGCCCGCTGCTGCTTGGCCCTCTATCCAAGAAAGGGAGTAGTGGTTTATTCGGCATGTTGTTAGGGTTGGTCCACACCATTGATCCTAGACCGACGATGGCAGGATAGTGAGCCTTCGCCACAGACTCAGCTCGGCTAGTCGGAGTATATTGAACGCGATCTCAAGATAAGCTGCAGATAATCAGCTGCTGTGTAAGTCTTCTTGCACTGTGATAGGATGATCTCGTATTGACGATCACTCGGCTGGGCCGGCGATAGCAAGTCATCCCAGCATCACCTCGGCCCGATCATGCCGTCGCCCCGGTGCATGCACATCACCACGCTGCCCATACTACAGAGTATGTGGCCAGGCCAATTGTGATTCCATTGTTGGAAATAATGAATTAACAACGGAGAAGTAATCCCGATCAGTAGAAAGGGAAAGGAAGCTGCTGTGAGTGCAGTCTGCCGGCTTTCATTTCCGTTGTGAAGGCAACAACAAGATGGCCCGTGAAGCTACATGATCCACTTTCTTGCATGACAGCCCCGGGCTTAATCAAATTAGTCCAATATTTATTATTCCTTCTATCCCCTACCCCAATTTCTTTCTATCTATCTTCTACTTGAACTACGCAATGGCTACCATCTCCGTATCTCCTTTCCCCGACGTGGAGATCCCCTCCACCGACCTCTGGTCGTTTCTCTTCGAGCGTTCAGATCGGCCGTATCCACACTCCCATCGTACGTTCTCCACTATCGCATCATGCCAGATATCAACAATTCTAATCCCATACAGCCCTCTTCGTCGACCCTCTCACCAACCGTAGCCTCTCCTTCCAACTAATCCGCCAACGCGCCCTCCACTTCGGCCACCACCTCCAATCCAAATGGTCCTGGCAACCGGGCGACGTGCTCGTCGTCTTCGCCCCGAATGCCATTGACCTGCCCCCCGCTGATCTGGGGTACCCTGGCCATCGGCGGTGTCGTCTGCCCGGTCAATCCCAGCTATCGCGCCGAAGAACTACGCCATCCATTGATCGATGCAGCCGCCAAAGCCATCGTCACCACCACCGCGCAAGTCTCCATCGTATACGAAGCCATTGACCGCGCCGGCCTCTCCCGCGACCGTGTCATCCTCCTCGATCAACTAGATCCACTATGGGCGACTATCAAAGACACAGACTACGTCGCACCGCATCGTCCCCCGATCCAGAACCCTGAAAAAGACCTCTCCTTCCTGGTCTACTCCTCCGGAACGACCGGTCTACCTAAGGGCGTCATGCTCTCGCACCGCAACATGGTCGCGAACATGGTGCAAAGTGCCGTTGCCGAGCAGGGCCAGCTGTCTGGAACCAAGATCGCATTCTGGGCATTTTGCCGTTCTTTCATATTTACGGTATTTCCCATCCCGCTCCCTTTTCCACTCCCGCCACTTTACTAATCTCATGGGTGTGATAGGAATCGGCTTCCTCCTCAACTACACCATCTACAGCGGCGTACCCATGTACGTCCTCCCGCGCTTCCAATTCCCCTCGTTCTGCGATACCATCCAGCGTCATCGCATCACATACGCTTATGTCGTGCCTCCTGTTATCCTGGAGCTGGTCTCCAACGCTGCCACTAAGAACTACGACCTTTCCTCCTTGCGCATGGTGGTATTTGCTGCGGCACCACTAGCTGTGAATTTGATCCACGCTGCGAAGCAGAAGTTAGGTCTTGTGGTTCGTCAGGCATACGGGATGAGCGAGTGTGCGCCTGCTATTCATTTCCAGGTACGTACCCCCTTCCTACTACCCCACAAAACAAGAGATAACTAATGAACTGAATGAATGATAGACCTGGTCCGAAGCCCACACCCACCCCGGCTCCGTCGGGCGACTCATCCCCAACATGACAGCCAAATACCACCCTATCCACGACGGAGATAATAAAGAGAAAGAACTCTGGGTGAAGGGCCCCAATGTCTTCCTCGGGTACCTGAACAACCCCACCGCGAATAAGGAATCCTTTTCCGAAGACGGATACTACAAGACTGGGGATGTGGGGTACGAGGATGATGCGGGGAACTTTTATATCACCGATCGCGTCAAGGAGTTGATTAAGTATAATGGTTTTCAGGTCGCGCCGGCGGAGTTGGAAGGGATTGTTCTGGGGCATCCGGGTGTGAAGGATGTGGGTGTTGTCGGGGTGAAGAGTGGGTTGGCGGGGAGTGAGTTGCCGAGGGCTTATGTTGTTGTCAAGGGGGATGTTGTTGGGAAGGGGGGGTGAGGGGTTGGAGAAGGAGATCGTGGAGTTCGTGGAGAAGAGGGTTATTGGGTATAAGAGGTTGAGGGGGGGTGTCGGGTTCGTGGAAAGTATTCCGAGGAATCCGTCGGGGAAGATTTTGAGGAGGGAGTTGAAGAAGTTGGAGAGGGAGGCCAAATTGTGATTTTACTTACTGTATATGTAGTATGGATGGTTGTATATGAAGTGTTTATGCATGTATAGTCAAATGTATTATTTCATGATTGAGCTGCTAGAGGTACATATGTAGTATACAGACGTCCCAATATTTACTCACACATTGAATAACCTCAATCCCTCCTCCACCACCCCCCTCCACCCCCTCACCTTCGCCTCCCTTTCCTCCCCTGTCCCCTTCACACCCACCTCCACAATAGCCCTAACATGATTCACCACCCTCTGCATCCCCTCCTGCCTCTCACTCAACTTCATCCCCTCCAACACCCACCCCTGCCCTCGACTCTTACACACCTCCTCAAACACCCCTTCCAACCGATCCCTCTCCGCCTTATCCTCCACCCCATACCGATAATTCCACAGGAACGCCCGCACCGGATTCCACCGCGGCGCCGGCACCACGCTTGCAAACTCCCAGTCCAGGATGCCGGTAATAGGACATTCGGGAGACGATGGATCGCACATGATGTTCGCGAAGTGGAGGTCTTTGTGGGCCAACACATAGGGTACATCATTCAGCTTGTCATCGAACCCAATAACTGAGATGAACTCCTCCAACCGAGGGATTAAATCCCTATGTGTCGATAGTGATGGGTGGATGCTAATAGCGTGGATATACCGCTCCACACACGCAACATTATACTCCGTGTAACTCGCATACCCATCACTCTTGAACGGATTCAGCGTTTCCAGCATTTCACCCATTCCGGCCCAATAGCTTTCCACATCCTGGGTCTGCCAATACGTCTCCTCAATAGGCGGACCACTCACTATCTCCTTCCCCTCCTCCTCCTCATCATCATCACCCCCCTGGGCTGCTAACTGCAATCCACCCACATACCCCCCCTCCCAGGGTTTACCATGCAACTCCGCCACAAACCCCGCCACCTGCTCCACCAACCTCATCTTCCTCCCCTCATCAAGACCCTCATACACCTCCGCAACAGACACGCCCGGCACCCGCTCCAACAAGGTAAATTCATACCCGAGGGGATTATCCCGACTCGCCGAGTAGGCAATCACCGCGGGAACGGGGATAGAAGTATTCCGTCGCACCCAGGTCATTACTCCCACTTCATTGAGGGTCTTTGTCCTGGGGATTTGGGTCCCCGAGATGCGCAGCACTAGGGTGATGCTCCCGTCGGAGGGGTCTGCGCGGGCGCGGATCGGAGGTGTGGCGGATGCGGCGGCGGAGGGGTCGTAGTGGATGAGGTAGATTGTGTGGAAGGCGGCGGAGACGGAGAGGGGGGTGATGGTTGTTGGTTGGGGGAGGGAGAGGGTGGTGAGGAGGGTGAGTATGCTGGTTGAGGGGAGGGGGGGTGGTAGGGTGGAGGTGGTCGTCATTGTTGGTGGTTGTTGTGTTCGTGTTGTGGATGTCGTGGTCATGGGTTAGGGTGGGAGGAGATGGTTCGCTGGGAGTATGTAGGCCATGGTGATTGAGGCTGTCATTGTGGGTTATATAGTGACAATTGTCTTGAGGATATTTTGACCATCATATTGTAGTGATGGATATTGTTGCATGACTCATGGTGAATCATGTACCATCATCCAGCTAGCTGGTAAAGGCTGCGCGAAGGATGAAGCTAGTGTGTAGAGCACACATGGTGATAGGTAGGCCGACGGTGTTCCTGGATAGCTTATCGTGTGGCGGGGCAATTGGACTGATAAGCTTCGGAGGTGATGATATCCCTGGCTGGGATGAGGTGAGGTTTGGTTCAGGGGCCGTTATCGGAAGCACGTGAGTGATCAATGCCTGAGGCAGGAATCTTGAGACACCACAGGGGCCGTGGATAGTTGATGGAGATGTATCTTGATCTGACCATCCTTAATTATGATCTATGTATTCATATGATGAATTACATTTCTATGCTACGTTTCGATTGTGGTTCAGATAACGTGGTGATCGCCAAGTCAAACCACCACTGAATAACGATCTGCAAACATCTCCATCTGGCCCTACGGTAGATCACGATCTGGGCGCCGAGGAACTAGGCTCTAAATTGGTCTTAGTAATGACATTCTAGGTAACCGCTGTCAACAGAAGACTGCAAGGTGCATAACAAAAGTTCAAGTTAATCTCGAGAAAGATAGTATGGGGTAAAGCAGCGCGCCAGTGAAATACAGCATAAACGCCAAATGCTGCAAATGTCTGATATCATCATATCATCCAAGACTATGTACAAATGTTTCACTTCAACTGATCCTCGCATAGGTCGTAACATCCTAATGTTTGGGATGATATTGGTACAAATGCCAGTTCTCCATTACCCACCACTCTGCGACATGGGCCGCATCACGCACCCAATCCACCGCATCACTGCCGTGTTCCTTTTCCAGTCTCTTGGCCAGATCAACTAGGTTGAACTCCGTCACCGGGTGCTGCTCCTCCGGATCCTGCTCAACGTTTGTGAACCGCCACTCGACGTCGTCCACCAGCGGAATCACCAGTCGGTATTCGGGATGGGCAGCGGATCGCACTGCCAGCCATGAACCACCGGTGTTCATGACGGTGAATTGCCAGTTTTGGCGGCCGTCCATTTCCGGGACGAGCTCGCGGATCATCGACTGGCCTTCATAGATGGAAAGCAGGTCCTCCGCGGTATGGGTGCTGTTGGGTCCCAGAGAGGACGATTGGATCAGCAGGTCCAGGATGGTAGGGACCACTTGCTGAGTGATAACTGGGGTGTTGACTTCAATAGATGGGAGATGAGGATGAGCAAACACCATTGGGATGTGAAAGCTGCCGATGTGGGGGTTATCGTATGGGGTGACGCCGCCGTCATTCGGAAGGGAGAGACCACTGTCTGGTTAGTATACGACACATCAAATAATGGAGCATGACTTACTGATCACCAGCCATCACGAGCAATGTCTCGTTGATAACGCCCTTCTCGGTCAGGATGTCAATGATCTCCTGCAACCAGTCGTCGATATATCCGATGGTGTTCAAGTATTTGTTGATATCCTCGTTGGAATTGGTGTTCTTGGATGACACCATCTCCTCGTATGCGTTGTCGGGCATTCCCCACGGGTGGTGCGTTGTGCCCGTCAGATGCGTCAGGAACAGCCGGCGGTGGTTGTGTTCGGCATCGTCGAGCGCATCGCGCACGTAGTCGCCCAGTACCATGTCAGGGTAGCCATAATAGTTGACCTCCTTGGACGAGGAGGCGGAATGCGTTGCATTTGCCTGTTCCAAAGACTCTTTGGTCACTACGTCATGGAATCCCAACTTCGGTGTGAGCTTGTCCTGGTTATCATAGCCCTCGGTGACGGACTGCATCCATGCCGAATGCCATGGCCAGGTGCGGTAGTCGGATTGATCAGTGGTGCGGTTGGTATCCACATCATCCTGGTGGTTGAATGCATCCAGGATATGCGGCATGCACGGCTGATAGATGTGATGGTTGTATTCGCGGTTAAAGTCGGCGACTAATGGCGTCACTCCGCACACCGTCCCGACAAGACTCTTCAGGGTGTAGGTGCCCGTGGTAAAAGCGTTGCGGGCACTGATGCCGCCATATGACCGTCGGCCGTAATCATGCTCGTTGTCGTGACCGAAACCCGCGTCAAAGCCGGTTAGGAACTCGGAAGTGCGGGTAAGATTTGCGACGAGCTTTTGAACGTCGTCGGGGATTTTCTTATCTGAATAAGTTTTGGCGATGCGGTTCCACATGAAAGCGTCCTTGCGCAGGGGAAAGACGTCGCTCCGAGTACTCTCCAACTTGATAAGAATAACATGTTTAATGTTGACGTTGCCGCTGGACAGGACCTCCTGCAAGGAGTCCAACACCGGGTTCTGCAGGTTAGGCACATGCAGCGGATCACTTTCGGGGTTATAGTGCAACCGAGGCACATCCGTCCTGGTCCAGTCTTCGAAGCCAGGCAATCCTCCCTTGGGCAGCCAGTCCCATTTGGGTACCTTGTCTAACGGTGTGCGACTCTCCAACCACTCATAGTCGCCGGGCAGCCCCCCAGCGCGGACAGGAGAGTGTCGGTGGCCACCGATGAAGGGTGCCACTGGCAAGGCTTCTGACAGGAACATGTAGGCGGGATCCCAAGGTCGAACCACGCGCAGCAAGACCAAGCTGAGGAATGGCACCCAGACGGCCAGCTTGATCAAAATCGAGTGTCCCCGTCTCGTGGCAGGTGCAACTTCACCATATGGCTCGAGAAGGTGGATCGAAGAGCCATCTTCACTCTTATCGTCGAGATAGTCATCCACGCCGATCTGCTCGTAGATCTCGGGTTCCGGCAATCTAGATCTCGGGCGGAACGCGCGAACCCGGCTCATACAACGGAACAAACATTTGAATGGCTGTCCCAGGATTGTGAGGATGCCACCAACAACGCGATGCAGTGGTGCAGACAGAAACCATGCTACAGTGAGCAGAATGCCTTCCACGATCAGGAATCCTGTCAGTCCCTGCAACAATGTGCGCATGGCAGCGGCATCGCGGTGGAAGGTTTTGGCTTGTCGCCAGTGAATTTCGGCACCGGTGACGATGTAAAAGGAGGTATTTGCGGCGGTCATTCCGGACATGATTAAACTAGGTTGGTCAGTGATTGACAGGCATTTCTGGTATGTGCGCAACCTACCTAAATGGTACAATCACCAAAGCTGATAACAATGCAACAGTGCGCCAGTGGAATTTGTGAGTGAAAAAGCGGATGAGGAGGGTGAGAATCACATCCTGGAAGAAAAAGGTCGAGCCCCAGAGGAAGAATTTAGGAGGAGGGAGAGAGTGAATGTGAGCGTAAAGATGCAACAATTTGGCGCCAAAAAAGGCGATGAAGGAGACAGTGAAGAAATATCGGCGTGTGAACTCCCATGTGTAGTCGAAGAACTCGCCAGGAGATGTACGCAGACGCTGCATGGCAGGGCCACAGCGACGGAGGGGATTGAAGAGCTTCATGGTGCAGCAGGAAAGTCACAGTATCTCAGCAGACGGACCGCATGGCACCACGGACTAAGAGCACACCCATTGAAGGGTGGAGGGACGGAGATGGCGTGACCGGGATGGGAGCCCGGAATGATGGAAAAAGGTGTCAAAGGCGAAAGAAGGGAATGAGGGGTTCTTCAAGAAGAGGGGAGGAAGAAGAGGAGGAGGAGGAGAAAGAAAAAGAGGAGAGAGATGGGGAAAGAAGAGCAGGACGCCATGATGATGGAGGCCTGAGGAGGTGGAGTCTTTCTCACAGCCAGCAATCACGGATAGAGCCGCAGTTTCAATTCACAGCCCTGCATCCAAACGGGCAATATAGCACGCTGGCCAGTCCAACGAACCTGCGAACTCTAAAGCTGGGTGGTTCACGGTGTGCCAACCTCCAAGCAGTCTAGTGACTTGTGGACTACCAGTAGTGCTCCGAGACTAGTGGTCTCTACTACACAGTACTACACAGTACTACCCAGCACTACACAGGACTAATGACCGAGGGAGAATTGAGATGGATGCCTGGCGTAGAGAAAGTTGGACCCTGAGGGCCCTGGACCCTGATGGTCCACCAGTAAGTTGGGAAGCCATTGGCTGTGCAGGCGAGAGCCGGTAAATTTAGAAGCAGCGGCGTTGCCAGACGTGCCCCGAAAGCCAATCAGCCTCGGGGCCAAGACCCGCAGACCCTGGGAAGTCAGTCTGAGACAGGGGAAATCTTAACTGCAATTATCATCGGTCGTGTGTTCCGGGGCAAATCCATCCATCCCAAACATCGTGTTCCATTAATTGCAATAGGGGTATCACTAGATTGATTTCATGTTTGAGAATAATTTTTTATCCCCCACCGATCGATAGATACAAGCAAACAGCTCTCTCGGTCTAGTTGCCACTATCACCAACGATCCGCAGGCTTGTCGTCCGCCCCCAAGAACACGTGGTGAGGACCTTCCCTTTCAGTTGGGATCAAAAGATGCATCTTTTATTTTCATCCCAAACAGGAGGCCTGATGCCCCAGAGGAGTTTAGTTTGGTCCCTCCGGGCGTGACCACATTCCTTTTTGGGGCCCCCGAGCGGGGGGTTACATCCGCTCTCGCCAATCAGTAAACAGACCGCCCGTGAATGCTCCACTGCCAAGGCTTCCAGAGAAATCTCTTGTCCGTTCATTTATTCCCTTTTGATTGTTGTTATTCACAATTCTCCCTCTGCCTCTTCCCGTTGTCTCACTTCAACCTGTCTTACATAGCCCACTTCTGCCCAATTGCCATTGCCTCCCTGTTCTCTTGGCCATTGAATAACAGTCTCCCACGTTACATCATGCATTGACGTGCCGTTATGGTTGTGTGCAACTGTAGGTTCAATTCTAAACTGCAGCAAGCAGCAAGCAGCATGTAGCACGTGTGGATTCCTTCATATGATGTTAGAATCCGCTCATTTGCATGGATACATGGGACCAGCTGCAGTCTCGCTTCCCCGCTTATCCATCGGGATTATTCTCCTCGCCCAACTCACCTGCACGAGATCTCATGCTGATGTGGGAAGCACCTCCGGGTCGTCAAACCTATTGGGGAGGAAAAAAGAGGAACAATGTCCTTGGCACACGGCAGTCCCACCGGATTTTCTCTCTTATTCCCGACTTTTTGTCTCTCTTGTTGTCTCTCTCTTAAAACCCGAAAATGAGTGTGCAGCTCACTACCAACAAACACCCTGAGTAAAATGATCATTGACCCCTCAAAGCCCTGCATGGTCTTGGCTTGGGAGAGGTGTCAAAGCGCCGTTGACAGAATTAGTCATGCTGGATTCATCCTGTATCGCAGGCAGAAAACGTGTCACCGTTTGTGTTGCCTAACGCTTTTGTTGGCGTTTCTCATTGCCTGAGTGTTACCTAATGCACTCTCAAAGATTCAACTTTATTATATGACATGTTACACTGCTAAGATATGTCGCAGAGGTACTTCCAGGGGCCTTTCACGTCTGACCTCGTTCCCCGCGGTACTCAGCCTTGCCTTGTAGACCCTGCATTGCCAAGAGTAGTGAGCATATTGTTGTACCTATCAGGCGCTGCGAGCTTATTCGAATCCTCCATCGTGCTTCTTTCCTTATTATTGACCTATTACCTCGGGTTTAATCAAGAAGGATGTGTTACGAGTTGGAATGACTGAAAGGATGTGGCTTTGATGCCATCAGTCATCCAAATATATATCCCACCCACCATCCCACCACTCCATCCTTTCGGCACATGACAAAGACTCGTAACTTCGCTACAGCTACTAGTAAGCAAACAGTAGTTTCTTTGGATTGTGAACTACTTAGTAAATATCTCGTTCAAAGTACAACTGAACTACACTCACCCTTAGTAATATGGCCTCTATCAGCCGGGCATCACAGTTCAGCCCAGCGAAGATCCCTGCGCCCCGAGGGATTTGCCAACTCAATCATCGCGGGGAGACCTTCGAAACCTCGTCGATCATGACATCACTCTCTCCATCATATCATGTCAGATTATAACTCTCACATGCTGACAATCAGTGAACCCAATGTAGCTATCTGAGGCCCCAAAATCTCACTAGCTGCAAGGAGAGAAATTCCATTGTGACTCGCAGAGGGCATTCCCGGAGGGATAGAACATTCAGATCAACCCGGGTGTGATGTTCACATATGATTTGAGATATTCTATGACAAAGTTCAGTGGGCATACAAAGGCCCCATTTACCTATTGTTCTCCTCTATCCTTGCTGGAAGCAAGTTTTACTCTAGAGTTATACGGTACTGAGTTTGCATGCTATTCTACGTTCAGCTGCAACCACACATGTGTCCACACCCTTCTGATCCCAGTAGTCTCTGATTGCATGTGTATAGCTCCGCAAATCTATATGTTCCATGGTCAAACGAAATTCTGGATTGAATACTGATGTGGGTGTCAGAATAGCGTGCCATGAACCTTAGAGCTTCGAAAGTACACCGTTCGTCTCAAGAATAGACAGATGACCCTTGTTGATATTTTTGACAGTTTTGCATCTGAGTTCTAGTCAGTATTTTTGATTTGTGGATGTCCAACAGCCACCGAAGAAATCGGCCAAGTCTCTTACCCAGCAACGCACATGGCCAGTTTGAATTCTTCTTGCAATAGCTTGACAGCAAGCTCCACGCCATTCGTTCCATTGTACTAAAAGTTCAAAGTCAGAAAAGGTCCATGGAAGCACGATAATAAACTAACCGCTAATCCCCAGATAGGAATCCTCCCCGCAAAGCAATAGTCCGCTCCTAGGGCCAGAGCTTTGAAAATATCCGTTCCTCGGCGGATACCCCCGTCAATGGCGATAGCTATTTTGCCCTTTGCGACAGGCGCACATTCGCGTAGTGCATCAAGAGTGGCTGGTACGCCGTCCAATTGTCTACCGCCGTGGTTGGAAATCAAAACACCGTTGACTCCATGCTGGATGGCTAGCGCGACATCTTCAGCAGTATAGACTAATAGATAATGTAAGCTATCCACAGAATGGGAGGCAATTCGGGAACTTACTTCCTTTTACCCAAATGTCGAGCTTAGTTACACTTCTTATCCACGCAATGGCCTCGGCTCACTCAATACCATCCTCTAAGAATATATCATTAGGGGTTTGAAGGAAGATTTGGAACATCCGTAACTTACCATATGCTAGCCCCTCGCCCGGCTCGGTCAAGTTACTCATGTCAGAGCCAGGGGCAAGATTGGGATATCCCATGCCTTTTGGAATTCCGAAAGAGTTTCTGTACTCGTTCAGACGCCGTCCGAGCATTGGCGCATCCACTGTTAACATGACTGCCCTGTACCCAGAATCTGGAGACATAAGAAGACTTAGCGCCGACAATGAGAAGAGACACAAAGTGCTGGGTCTCACTTTCTGCGCGCTCAAGTAGCTGCCTCGTGATATTCCGATCCTTCAATATAATGAATTGTATCATGTATGGGTTTCCTGCCCCTTCTGCTATGACATCCTCTAACGAGCAGGTTGCATGTGAGGACAACGCCATGCATATATTCGCCTCAGCAGCAACCTTGGAAGTTCCGACCTCACCATCCGGGTGGGCGATCTTGTGGGAGGCCGCGGGAGAAAATCCAAAAGGGAAAGAAACTTTGGTATTGCAGATCGTTGTGGAGGTGTCCAGGTTAGAGACATCGCGAAGGACGCGTGGACGAATCTTATAACGATTGAAGGCATCTTCGTTGTCTTTCACGCTAGGTTTGTGTTAGTAAGATATGATATGAGATGGATTTATTCAACGTACGTGATGAGATCCATTGCGCCTTCATTGAAGAATTCTGCTAAGTGGTCAGCGGATGCCGCAGTATACAGACTAGTGAAAGTAGCTACCTTTGAATACTCTTGGAAGTTTCTCCGATGCCTTTGCCTGCAAGTCGGCAATGGAGAAGATCTCCGAGTCTAGCTTTTCCCTCGATTTGCCATATTTTCGTGCGCGTAACTTGATGATATGATCGATGAACAGCGACAGTGGTCCATTGCCCCGTGTTTATATTCACCTAATACTTCAATTGATAGTGGTTCAGTATCGCAACTGATAGGAACTCTTGACTCGGTTCTGATGGCACCGTGACACGGCTTCGGGCCCTTGACTCGGTCTCCGCAGAGCCGAGTCATTACCGGAATCTTAAGTAGATGTTGACCTGCACTCATAGAACGTGGTATCAACATCAGGCCCCTTAAGGAAATGACATATTCGGACCTTCTACTCTTCATCCAGCCCTTTGCGCCTCCGGACCAATGGCTCCAGAGAGTGCGACAAACTAACCCGGCAATGCGGGTGGAGTACCATAATGTGGAGATGTACGCGAAAGAACTACCACCCATCTCCAAGGAAACATGGGCAGAGGCTACAATACTCTTCACCTGGCAACTATTTCCTCCCAAGGAATGGGTGTCAAAGCTGCAGTATATTCAGCTGTTAAGTGCCGGATGCAATCAGCTATTAGGCATGCCACTTTTTGAAGACACAGATATTGCATTTTGCACATCCAATGGCAATCATCCGTGAGTAAAATACCTACTTGCGTCAGTGAGCTTCGCCAACTAATCCTTATTCAAGGCCCCAAATCGCGGAGTGGGTTTTCTCGACATACTTAGCCTTTCAGCATCATAGTGAGCATGAACAAAATTGCTTTATAATGATAACCGACACTAACTATTGGAAGTTCCGGAATATCTCGAGAACCAAAGAGCCTGCAAGTGGGTAGATCCACCTACTGATGAGGATACAGAGGATGCGGTCGGCCTTAGAATGTGAGTGTAGCGCTATTATTCGCCCTTCTGTTTCATACCAGTGCTAACAAAACCTTGAAGTGGGATTCTAGGATACGGCTGCATTGGCCGACAATGTGCCCGAGTCGCCAAAGCATTCGGCATGGACGTCTACGCGTATACATTGCACAGCCGGGATACCCCTGAGTCTCGCAGATCTGAAGACTATACTGAACCAGGACTGGGCGACCCCGAAGGCGAATTTCCATCCGCATGGTTTGCAGGAAAAGAGCAACTGAATGAATTTCTTGCGTCGGATCTCGATCTACTGGTCATCACACTGCCGCTCACAAATCAAACCCGGGGAATGATTTCGCGTGAGCAGTTTGACATCCTTAGCAAGAAGAAGGCCTATGTTAGTATTGTTGGAAGGAGACCCTGTGTCAATACGGAGGACTTGATGGTTGCACTGGATGAAGGCAAAATCAGGGGTGCTGCTTTGGATGTGACGGAACCAGAGCCTTTGCCTGCTGATCATAAGCTCTGGGGGTATAAGAACGTCATTATCACGCCTCATTGTAGTGGGAACTCGAATCATTATTATGAGCGTGTGTTGAAGATCTTTGCGTATAACTTGGAGCGGCGGGCACAGGGCAAGCCGCTAGTCAATCATGTCAACAGGGCTTTGGGTTATTAGAGCGTAATAAGCGCTATGCAGATATGAGCAATGATTCGTGTTCATGATTAAACCTTTTTTTTTTTTTTTTTTTTTTTAATCTCTCCATCGCTAGTTCTTTGGGTCCTCTGGAGCAAGTCCGCGTAGCTTTGCTATGATAAAAGATGGCAAGAGATACAATGTCAGAGTAGATTGGATGGGATGCAGTTTTGGTAAGTCAATTTGGGTAGGGATATTTCGAGTGTGAGCATAAGCGTTTCACCCACCTTCAAGGTCTAAGTATAGTGCTGAGTTCCGTATGCACAAATGCACAGACAGATGGAAAAGAGGGGTGTGGCCAATCAGGACTGGGCCGAGTCATATCAGTTTGAAGTGGGATGCTGTTGACTCGGCCCTGTCGGCCAAGAAATTCCGCTTATCACAGTTCCGAGCAGGAATGCAACTAAAGAGACCGGTCGCACATTCACAGCGAATCATGTTTCAGAGAGCTCGCAGAATTACCGAAACGTCGTAGGGCATAGAAGTGACTGAAATGGTATGGCAGCATAATATCCTTAACTATCCTTTAATTGTTGTCTTGGCAGGTGCACACAAGTCAGATGTTGCGTAGCCAAATGGATGTAGTATATATGTTTATTCACTATATGTTACGGCAGCTACTATGTTCCATGAGATCGATGGTGGTAATGGTGATGATGGAAATGATGGTGGAAGTGATGGTGGTGATGAACCTCTTGCGCCTGGGTAGGATATGACCGTGACAAGGCATCCCTTGAACTTGAAGAGGTCCGCTGAGCAGACATGAGCACTTGTCGAACGGCTGCTTCCACCATGGCATTCTGATCGGGCTCTTCACTTTGTGAAAACGAGTCTAAGGCGAGCCGAATTTTGTCCGCACTGAAGGTGTGAAGGTCATTGGTAGGCGATGTTTCTTGACCACTGATATTGGTGTTGTTTGACACAAGCCGGTCGCGGTCTGCAGCCCGACCCTCGGGGCTCGAGATCGAGGGGAAATCCCCTGATATTGTATTCATCTCGGCGTTCTCATTCGATGATAGATGTCCGGTGTGTGTTCTCGCCTGGTTGCTCTCAGGGGCTTGGTTCTGCATGAGAGGATGCGCGAATATGTCTGAGTCATGTTGAAGTGACATGTAGCCTTCATCTGGGTAACGCATGGACAGAATAGCTGCATCGCTCAGGTCGAATGGTGAGGATAATAATATGTTTTCCGACAATCCGGTGGCCATATCTATCGCATCCAGATGAACATCGGGGCTTTCACCATCTTCCTGCGAGCCGTTGTCTATGGAACTGGCGTTTCCACTGCTAGAGCCTGGATAACTTGAGCCAGAGCTGGAGGATGGTGATAGTTCCGTGGAATCGTCCTGGCCTTGGCAGGATTGATTGGGCATGGTTGTGATTTCTTTGCATAGCCTTCTCCATCGATTTCGGCAAGTCAAAGGAGGACGACCCGGTAGTCCCGATGATATTGTAGCCCATCGATGCCCCAGTTCCTTTACCTTAGTCGTCAGATAGTGGTCCTCCTCTTGCGACCAACTTCTGAGGCGGTTTTTCACAGAGGGGTCTAGAATATCGGTATATCGCTTCGCACATTGATCATCCTTTCGGCCCTTGATGAGAAGTGCTTCTCAGCTATTACTCAGCAAGATGCATTCAAAAGAAGACTAATCAATGCGACAGCGTACCAATCTCCTTCCAAGCAGGTCCTAGTCGCCGATGAGCGGCGAGGAGAATCTCGTCTTCCTCTTTGGTCCAGCGACCTTTGCGCAGTTTTGGGTCTAGGGAATGGAACCAACGCTTTCGACAATCCTGGTGTTGTTGTCAGTATGAAACCCGCAAACTGTCTCCGGAAGGACGGACCTTGTTTGTCCGCCCTGGTAGGTTCTTGGAGATCTCAGTCCATTTACTGTCTCTACCACGCTTATCTCCCAACTGCTCAACAAGGGCAATGGGCTTTTCGTCTTCTTCGGTTGACCATACGCGACGTGGCATGGTGATGGTAGGAACGGCGTCCAGGAACTCCGGGATACAGGATGAAGATGCGGATAAGTGGTGATGACTCGGCCCCAACCCTTTCCCCGCATCATCCTCTTTCCGATGTTGCCAATGTTCTTATCTGATGTGGCCACCACCTTGCCTCTCTCGTCGCATAGCGTGAATCATTGGATGGGGACCGGTCGATACGCAGAGAAAATTCTCGATAGCAAACATTCCCATTGGATTGGTACCCAAGAAGAGAAGGAGTTCCCGCGGATGCGCATGCTGGCAGCAGCTGGCGAACATGCTCGGAATCGGCCATTCCGACTCCGCCTTGTCGCGAGTTATTGTAGAACACACTGCACATCACGCTCTACCATGAAACTAGTGCAGTGCGTACAGGTAGAATCTCTGTGCAAGCATAAGGACGTGGGAGATTTAATGACAGTCTGTCACTGGGTATAAGGACCGGACCGCTGCACTCGGCTCAGCCCACCGTGTGGAGATGCATGCTCAGCGTTCAAATCACCTGGTATTCAGTGACTCTGTCCTGCTCGCTGACTCGGCCCCACGATGCGATATTTATTCTCTGCTGATAACATTGACACCCATCACCTTCATATATTTTAAACCTTCTCACCTATCAAGCTTTCACATAATCACCTCTCTCCACGATGTCGTGCCACCCTTTGGATCCAGCCAGCCCGGACGAAATCCGGCAGGCGACTGATTTGGTCAAGGCCAAATACAATGGAATCTCACTTCACTTCAAAGCAGCTGGACTGGAAGAACCAGCTAAAGCTGCTCTTGTTGACTTCCTGGACGCAGAGCACCATGGTCGGCCCCTTCCCTTCATCCCCCGTCAGATCTTCCTCATTTGGTACATTGGGTACACCCCTCGTCTGTTTGAAGGCATTGTGGATCTCTCCAGACAGAGTCTTGTCCATCACAAAGAGCTTCCACGCGACTTTCATGGACCGGTCGATCGGGCGGAGATGAACGAAGCGGCGCAAATTGTCATGAAGGATCCTCGTGTCCAGGCGGAGATCAAGAGACTCCAAATTGATGACACCACAGTCGCCCTCGATCCTTGGGATTACGGCGTAGATGGTGAAGATACACAGACTCGTCGCACCCAGGTACTGCGTTGCTGAACCACCGACTCGTGCACAATTAGCTGACAGGTTCATTCCTAGGTCTTCATGTACATGCGAAATCCCGAGAATAATGACCCCGATTCCAGTCATTATAGCTTCCCTCTGGATTTCATGGTAATTGTAAATCTCTGCAAGATGGAGGTGATAAAAATTATTCGTCTGCCCTTGGGATCGGACCAAACCGCCACTGCTGTTGGTTCGGCTGTGCCTCATCGTCGGACCAACCCCGTCGAACCAGAATATGATCATCGCTTGCAGAAGAACCCACCTCGGACTACCCTGAAGCCCTACCAAGTAATTCAGCCAGAGGGGGCGTCCTTTACCGTCAATGGATATTTGATCGAATGGGAGAAATGGCGCTTCCGTGTTGGGTTCAATTGGCGTGAAGGTGAGCTGTACTTCAAACTTTGCAGGAATAGCTAAGGTACTAATTCTGGTCAGGAATGACCCTTCATGATGTGTCTTTTGATGGAAAGAGTGCTTTCTATCGTCTCTTTCTTTCGGAAATGTTTGTGCCATACGGCGATCCCCGCAACCCAATTTATCGAAAGGGAGCATTTGACCTGGGAAACGTCGGTGCGGGTGTGACTGCAAACAACCTTCAATGTACGTTCATTTCCCCTTGTCTAGGCTTGCGACATATGTCTGACCATATTACTCATAATAGTGGGCTGTGACTGTCTCGGTCTCATCAAATACCTTGACGGATGTGTTGTCGCCAAAGATGGAAGCCCTGCGCCTAGGCCGAATGCCATTTGCATCCATGAAATAGATAATGGAATCCAGTGGAAGCATACAATCCACCGAACTGGAAAGGCAACAGTAGTGAGAAAGCGCCAGCTTGTTTTGCAAACGATCATCACTGTGGCGAACTACGAGTACATTTTCATGTGGTACTTCGATCAGTCGGGAGAATTCACCTTCGAAACCCGTGCTACAGGCATTCTCTCTACCCAGCCAATCGACAAAGATGCCAAGGTAGCCTGGGGCACACGCGTTGCGGATGGAGTGATGGCCCCGTATCATCAGCATCTCTTCAACCTGCGTATCGACCCAGCCGTGGGCGGTCACAAGAACAGTTTTGCGTCTACCGATACTGTTCCCCTTCCATGGGCTGAGGATCTGAACCCCCTTGGTACCGGATTCATAACCCAACAGCAGATTCTTAATCGGGCAGGAACTGTGGAGGACGACATCTCGAAAGGAAGAGTTTTCAAGATTTTGAACGAGAATGTCGAAAACCCCGTGTCATTGACTCCAATTGGGTACAAACTGGTGCCTCATCGCTCTCAGGTAAGTCGATCCGACTTTTCAATTTTGGACCACACTAACGACTATAGATGCTGCTCGCTCGCCCGGGGTCCTGGCATTCGCGCCGGTCGGAATTTTGTGAGAGCCCGATCTGGGTCACGAAATACAAGGACCGTCAGCTGTTCCCAGCGGGTGACTACACGAACCAATCCCTTGGCGGCACTGGTATCAAATCATGGATTAGCGAAGCTCGATACTCGGTCCGAAACGATGATATTGTCATCTGGCATACTTACGGCTTCACTCACAACCCACGTGTTGAGGACCTTCCCGTTATGCCGGCCGAAATGGCACAGGTTCGGCTGAGCCCTTATAATTTTTGCCTTTTCAACCCAGCGAACGATGTCCCTCCGTCCACACAGGCATCCAACAAGAGTGTGGAGCTTACAGAGAAGCCCGCCAGCCAGAATTCTTCCGGATGCTGCTCCCAGCCTAAGAGCCACCTGTGACGTCTCCGGAGCTTCGATCCTGATGGAAAGAGAATGCTCTGGCAAGTATGAGGATACCTAATGCTGCTTTGCTGCATAGTTAGTCTGCAATAACGGGAATCGAGTATCTTCAAGGGGTTCTGTCACTTTGCATGGAAAGCGAATAGTTGGGAACAGACATGGAACAGCAGACGGGGTAATCCTGGAGTGTGACCAGCCTAATTCAGTCCGTCTCCGCTGTACCATACTAGAATCATATACTTGAATATTATGAAGTACTCCATGATTAGCTTTCATGTGTGCGTGGTCTTTGGAGGTTACGCCGGCTGGAGTGGACATATCGCGGCTTAGGTACGCGCCCTTAGAAAGAAATGTGAGCAAAATCTCAGATTGGCGTATGTTATAATCATGATACCATATATGTAGATAGTTTCATGTTCCCTTGCTTCACATTCTTATGGCAGCCGCACCGCCAATATAGGGATATCAGTGCACTCCAACCGATATGTCAACTTCGCTATTCATCATAGGAGTATGACAGCTGGCTGTATGCTGGTGTAGCTACCTGTTTGGGCTTTGATTAATCAGTCAGTCAATTTAACCAAGAAACAATAAGCGCCCGAGTTTCCACCATATATTGGCTATTTTTAGACATTCTTCGATGGTGTGACGCACTTAATTACTGAAATTGCACTGTTAGAAGGATTTCCACATACCATTTCCGTTAATTACCTTCTCAAGACTGGTTCCTCGCTTGTAGTCAGACCTATCTCTATCATTACCTGACTAATCTAACTTCTCACGCTAAAGCCAACCCTCATGCATTTCAACTAGATAATTCCTGATGTACTCTCGATTCACCTCACTTTATCCCAGCTTCTCACAAGTTGATTACCTGTTGGGACATGTATCTCGCTATCGCCTAGCTAACCAACAGCGGTAAATTGTTCTTGGTCTAGTGGTTAGTGCGCCGACATCAACTCTTCCTGTCCTCGGGAGTACGAGGAATGATCATTCTTGTTCAGTCCGCGGAGAGGGCCCTCAAATAAAGGGATACCTTATCAGCTTGATGGTCACGAGTAGGCTCTGCGGCGGGAACTCCGCTTTCACGACCCCTACATTCTTTGTCTCTCAATCAATTCTGTCTATTCCACAGACATTAAGGGTACTTCGAATTTGATTTCACTTCCGTTTTATCCTCCACCTTCTCGAAGGTTTCCATCGATTGCCTTCTGATCCCCCTACCTACCACACAGTCTTCATGATTTAAACCCCCAGCATGGACAGTACCCAGAGCCCTCCTCGCCGCGTGCTGCTGTTAAGCATGCCTCGGACCGCGTCAAATCTATTATTGAAGATACTGTCTCTTAGCGATCAGCCAGGTGCCATCACCAACAATAAAGGAGGATATTGTTTCACACCAACATATCTTAAATTGATCAAAGATGACCTCCTCAGCAAGCCCATTGCACAATGGACACTGAAACAAGCACTCGAGGTTCAGGGGGTCCTCCAACAGTGTCTGGAGACGCTGGAAGGATCCTCCGCCTTGGCCCGTGATGAAGGGAAGACTTTCTTCGTTAAAGAGCATATATCTTGACTCATGAACCCGGCTACCACTTCTAAGATGCTGCATGATGTCGACACAACTAATGGAGATGCCTCGGCCGCTTTAATGGCACCCGATTACCACTCATTCTTCCGGGTTCGTGTGAATAGCAAGTATGGCCGGTCGAAAGGACTTCCTCCATTGAATGAAACTGTCCTCCCAGATGGGTACCTGGCTACCTGGCAACTGGCATTTCTTATCCGAAATCCTGCCTTAGTTTTCCCATCGATGTACCGGGCTGATCGGGCTCTGAAGGACCTTTATCCTTCGGGTGACAATCCCTTCGAGGGTCTGTTGTCGGAGAGCTATTTGAAAGTTACTCTAACTCTACGCTGGACACGGATGCTCTACGATTGGTGTGCTCGCCGGAAGGGACAGGCGCATCGAATCATTCTGGATGCCTCTGACCTTATCCACAATAAGGGCTCTATAGTAAAATTCTGCGAGCAAACGGGACTCGACCCCACAGTTTTAAAGTTTGAGTGGGAGAGTGTCGGTCCTGAGGATAAATCCTCGTCAGGAGATGGAGCTTCCGAGCAAGACTCCATACTTCAGAAAGCTGAAACTACCATGAGAACAACTCTGATGGGATCCTCCGGGGTGTTAAAAGAGAAGGCGCCCGAAGTTGTCGATATTGCTTCGGAGGCGGAAAGGTGGAAGCATGAATTTGGCGACAAGGTGGCTAATTTAATTCTCGAGAGGGTTCATGAAGCAATGCCCGATTACGAATATCTCATGCAACGGAGGTTGGTCTAAGTTTGCTACATTGCTCGTCGGCGTCGACAATAGGTGGGATTCTTAGTCTGTCTCACTTCTGTACCTTCTACTGAATGGACACAATCATAAGAAGATGTATAATAAAGGAGGATGATAAGGAAAGAAAGCAACCTATGCGGAATATTTTCGCAATTATATCAAAGTTTAATTCGATAATTATACACTCAATAATCCAAATCTTGAACATTCAATACTGTCTAACTAGCTTCCTTAGTATTACAATAAAATACCTTTCATTAAGGGGGGATAGATAGACTACAACAAGATATAATGGCCTGCTTACTAGAGCAGAGTGCCCGGGCTTAACATTTGCTGCTGATACTCCGAATCAACATCAAAACGCCCGGCTGCGCATACAAGGCATAAGCATTAACAAGCCGACAAGAATAAACAATAAATCCACTATTGCGTCCACGACTCTAAACCGCAAGTCTTAACACAAGCAGGAAATATCCACCACGATGGATTAACAAGAGCCCGGGAGCCGAGTCATATCTGGCACCTTTCCCCGCAACGGCTGAGATCAAGATATTGACTTCCGGGACGGGCTTGCAATTCCCTTGCTCTTATCTCTTTTGTATTTATCACCTTGGCATTGATATCGTAGAAAGCTTGAATATCATTGGATCGTCTCGGTAAATGCTGATAGCATATCACGCGTGGCCTCCGGCTGAAATGAGCCGAGTCACTTTATGCAAGACGCTGTACACAGCGCTATCGAAAGTCCAGATTATGCTGATAGCTAGATATAGGATCTCTAGATACTTATAGCACAATGACTACTATGAGCTTTGACTTGAATCTATCGAACTCAATCACATATGATAACTAGCGTGCTTCCATCCAGGGTAACTATTACACGAGCACACAATGTCAGTCTCAAAACCCATTTCCAGCCACAATGCCCCGATCCAGACAGCGAACGTGACCAAAGCAGACCCCTCAGCAGATCTAGAGAATGGACTATACCAAGTCCCATCACAGAAAGAAGGCCAAGTGGAAAACATCATTCAAGTTGAGACTGTCAGAGGTCTCAAACCGCGCCACACCCAAATGATAGCAATTGGCGGTGCTATCGGAACCGGACTGTTCATCGGAAGTGGTGAATCTCTAAGCATCGGGGGGCCGCTGTTTCTTTTGCTGGGCTACTCTCTCCTAACGCTACTGGTCTTCTGCATCGTGACTGCGACAACTGAGTTCAGCTCCTTCCTTCCAGTCCGCGGCTTATCCGTTGCCTACTTCGGCCATCGATTCGCCTCGAGTAGTATGGGCTTTGCCTTAGGGTGGATGTACTACTACGTCTTCGCCATCACGGTCCCTTCGGAGATTACTGCTGCGGCGCTCGTCATCGATTACTGGCCTAGTCCTGTGAATATCGCTGTATGGATCACAATCATGTTGGTGGTGATTGTGGGTTTGAACTGCTTCCCGGTCACAGTATACGGAGAAACGGAATTCTGGTTCGCCTCGATCAAAGTAATTTGCATCATCGGCCTCTTCATCATGGCCCTGGTAGTCACCTGCGGCGGTGCCCCGAATCACACAGCAATAGGATTCGCCTATTGGCATAGCCCCGGAGCTACCAATGAGTACATCGTCAGTGGAGCCTCGGGGCGACTAGTCGCTTTCATCGCGACCCTACGCTTCTCCGCCTACATTTTTGCCTTCACACCAAAGCTCCTAGTCATCACAGCAGGGGAGATGCAAAACCCCCGCCAGAATCTCCCCACAGCCGGACGGCGGTTCTTTATCCGACTGGTCATCTTCTATATCCTCGGTGCCTTCCTCATAGGTCTGATCTGCCCGAGCAACAACAATCAGCTACTAGGGAGCAGCAGCGACGCCAGCGCCTCTCCCTGGGCAATCGCAGCTAAAGACGCAGGTATAAAGGGTCTCGACTCGGTAATCAACGTCGTAATTCTATTATCAGCCTGGTCGGCAGGGAACTCATGGCTATATCTTGCCACTCGCACACTATATTCCATGGCGACTCTCGGTACTGCGCCTAAGATTTTCAAACGCTGTACAGCATCAGGCGTCCCGTACATGTCTCTGGGATTTACCTCACTATTTTCCCTTCTCGCATACATGAACGTCAGTTCCTCCGCCGCAACAGTATTTAACTGGTTCGTCAACCTCGTGAATAGTGGCGCGTATGTGAGTTGGGTCTGCGTATGTGTTATATACATTCGCTTTCGAAAGGCCACGGCGTCGCAGGGACTTGATGTTGCGGGGTTGCCGTATCGGTCGAGGTTTCAGCCATATGCTGCGTATTTTGCTGGCTGTGTCATCTTCTTGTTATTGTGGTTAAATGGGTTTACGGTGTTTTTTTCCGGGGCAGTGGGATACCTCGACGTTTGTTACTTCGTATGTGGGGATTCCTATTTTTGTGGTCTTTTATTTGGGGCATAGATTGTATACTGGGTGGGGTGGACCTTGGTTGATTCCGTGTGAGGAGGTGGATCTGCTGACTGGGATAGCTGAGATTGTTGCTGCGGAGGTTCCGACTTCTAGGCGCACTGGGAGGTGATTTGAGGGGTTCGGGTTTTTGTTTGGATAGATGTTTATATATTGGCATAGTGCAATGTAATGATCCAGGCTATCTAGAAGAATGGCGAAATAAAGAAACCATGGGCGGAAGTTCAGACCCATCGACACATACTTTCTACAAGAGGCATCACTCTACTTAGGAAAACGAGCATGCTAATTCACCGTCTCGATTGAAGAAATTACAATAGATCCGCATCACGAAGCAGCAGCCTAAAGCCTACCACTTCCATCCCCTCGTAGCACGCCAGTAAACTCCTCCAGCCGCCAAAGCCACCCCCAAGAACAACGTGACATTACTAACCAGCACCTCTTCCTTGACCCGACTAACGTGCGTCGTCTTCTTCTTCTCCACTGTCGCAGCCCCATCGCCCTTGAAAAGGAAGTCCGTCCATCGCACCTGAGACACCTCCTTCTGGTACTCCACCACCTTGAGTGGCCAGTTGTTCGTGATCAGGCCCTCATCAGTCCTGTACCAGCTTTGGCAGTTGGGGTCAGCGAAACTGGTTTCTGCCAACTGTTTCTGGACCCGATAGTTGTATTCGCGTAGCACTTCTGGGCGGGGTTGAATAACCAGTGTTTGGTCCTTTTTCTTCGCATCGGCTACGGCTCGGATCAGGGTGGTTATGTATCGGGATTGCGCTTCAATCATGAGGATGATGGAGTTGTGGCCTATCTCTGTCAGTCTATGTACTCCTAAAGGACTTGATGGAAGGATGGACATACCCAAGTTTGTGTTGGGTCCGTAGAACATGCCGAAATTCGGCAAATCCTCGACCGTCATGCCATAATAAGCTTTTGGTCCGCCCTTCCAGATATCTTCCAGCGACCGGCCCCCAGCGCCATACACCCGGATCGGGTGCAAGAATTCCGAAGCACGGAATCCAGTGGCCAACACGATGAGATCGTACTCCTGCTCGTCACCCTCCGTTTGCACCCCCGTGGCTGTGACGCGCTGGATGGGCCGGGTATTGAGGTCAACGTGACTCGAGTTCAACGCTGAGTAGAAGTCGTCGGAAATGAGGATGCGCTTGCATCCAATGGCATAGTTGGGGGTTAGAGTGTCCCACAATTCGGGCTTGTCGGGCAATTGGGTTTTCATCCATTTCTTTGCAGCTTCCTCAGCTTCGCGGGCCGGAACCGTGCCGGGAGTGACGAGGACGTTGTATGACCATTCTCGGAAACGCATCTGCAGGACTCTCTTGCACCAGCGCACGGGAGGTACATATGACAGTAGGAACTGCTGGAGAGCGCCGATCGGCTTGTTAAAGCGTGGAACGACCCATTTCGGGCTGCGTTGGTAGATGGCTATATGAGAGGCGGTTTTGGCTATTTCAGGGACAATTTGAATTGCCGAGGCGCCTGTCACGGCTGTCAGTATATGATGCCGAGTGTTCTAGTGGAGATGAAGCTTTTACCATTTCCGATCACCGCAATCCGTTTGCCAGAGAAGTCGTAGGTCCAGTCCCATCTGGCTGAGTGAATCAACTTGCCCGTGAAATCATCCAGACCTGGGATGGAGGGATAGCTGGGCACATTGAGTTGTCCGACAGCGGATACCAGGAAATCTGTGATGAGTTCATATTCCTCATGAAATTCGCTAGCCTTAGTGCCATTCAGGGCCACCTGGACCTTCCATTGCTGTTGCTGGTCGTCCCATCGGGCTTCTTTTACGGTCGAGTTGAACCGGATGTATTGATAGAGGCCGTGTTTCTGAGCAATATCCGTGAGGTATGCCTACAGGTGCGTCAGCATCTTATATGCGTTGCAAGTAAGACAGGATTACCAGAAACTCTTCCTGCGCCGGATACTCTGCCGTCCAGTCGGGACGCTGCTCAAATGAATAGCTGTACAGGGCGCTCCAGACTACACGGCTGTTAGCTATCTATACGCGCGACCATGTTAGGCCGGTCGCTTCTGACCGTCGCAGGCACAGCCCGGGTAGAGATTGTTGGCCCAGGTTCCTCCTACAGCGCTTCCCTGCTCGAGTATGACGAACTTTCGGATGGGGGTTCGACGGAGGAGCTCGATGGCCATGCATATCCCTGGGAGATTGTGAGCGACAGAGTTTATAATTCCCCGGGTCACAAGCAAGGGGATCATGTTGTACCTGATACGCCAGCCCCGATAATCACGACAGTAGCACGGGTATAATCATGATTCCCCACATGGTGAGCGTAGTTGGAGGGCATGATGAGAGTGAGTGGTAGTATAACGAGATCAGGGAAAGTGAAATGCGGTGAATCCAGGGATGGGAATTGCTTTTCCTGCTGGGCGACTTTGTACCATGTTCCAACCCCGCTCGCGTCGGGGAGATGCACCTCGGCTCGACAAATTCCCCTCTCGCCCTACATCGCCGAGGATGGGAACAAAAGAGCGCTCAATGTCAACTCTATCAATCATTGGTAACCCAGCTGTAGCTATCGCATTGGCATGCATTAAGTAGGTGTTGTAGACCCATACTGAGCTCCTCATTGGCCGCAGGGGGGCCGAGACATCCGTGCACATCAATATGCTAACCAGCTAGTTAGCTAACTAGCTGTCAACTAAGCGCCGGCCCCGGCTCCTTTGTAAATCAACCGTTGGCACTTTATAGAGACAAGCCCAAACCTGACTGCGCGGAACTGATAGATCACATCCGAAACCCTCATAAGGCAAGACATGCTGGATGTGGACTTCCAACCACTACGCGGTGCTCCTCTCCTGGAAAAAAGAAATTGACCATACGTCAACAGCTTTTGCATTTAGAATAGCTATGTTTGAACAAAATTCCTGGCGCCTAGTCGATGCCTCGAGGACATTTTGACCAAGCCACAGGCGGCACAGACGTGCTCACAGCCGGGATTCATACGAATCAATCGCACTGTCAAAGGCATCGTCCACATCCCCGGTCCCTTGTCGAATAGTCTCCTTGTCAGCACCGACAGCCTTGTTCTGCAGCGCCACAGAAAGAGCAACTGTCCGACTCCTCATGTTGACCAAATTAAGCCGCACTGCAGAGCCCACGCCGGCGCTGATGAAGAGATCTCTCTGGTAATCAAAATGTCAGAACATCTCTCAGAAAAATGACAGATATCAGGATAGCTTCCAACCTTCATCACAAGTGCGGCAATTGAGGTTCGCATAATCGGCTCCAATCCCACCAAGGATTCAGTCACGCTATTGCTCTCCTGGGCGGTCCACTCCGCCGTGCTGTTGGTGTCGGCGGCCACTCCCTCGAGGTCCTTCTCCAGGCTACTCTCCTGGTGGAAGATTTCGATCGCAGCGGGAAGTGTTCCGTCGTAACGATAAACGGATGCACCGAATGTGCCTATATTGGCATTCAAGGTGGACAGACCACGGAGGACAATGGAAATGTCCCGCTTGATGACATGCGAGGTGGCAAGCGAGATATAGGCCAGAATGGCGGTCCCCGTAAGTGCGAAGCGCATTTTGGTAGCTGGTTTTGTGGTCGGTGTCCTTTCTGCTGTCTTGTATCTCTTGTTATTGCTGAAATCAAGCAGGTCTGACGCTATATATATACAAGTTGGCCGTGAAATTGGGACTTCAACCTGGAAACAGGCGGTCTATTCTGTATGACTTTCGCCAGGGATGCTGTATAACAGGGGTTAAGTTCATCCGTGAACTAACTCCGTCGCATGATGGAACCCATTGTTCGGGCATTATGTCTCATCGAAAGAGTGACGCCCCTCCGGTTGCAACAGTTTCACCATCGCGGATGAAGCTTCGAGCCATGCAGATGTCAGTAGGATCTTGCCATGAACTCCCGTTTTCCAGTGTACAAATGTAACAGTCAGGTTGGCGGTTGGGGATTGTAGGTTCAAAGTTGGTACACTGTCCAGGAAAGACAACACCCCGGCTGGGGCAGCACTCACGATTCTTTCCCCAGTGTCACACCAAACCGGGCTTTTGGCAGGTTATGATACCCATTAGTGAGACAAACCAGTGAATTCTCGTCAAAGGAGAATTTCTCCGACCGATGATCGCTACGGCTCAAGGTTCACTAATGCGCGGGGACCGCACACGAGCACTTGACAGCACACGACACAGACAATGCATGGCTACCATTCATGATGGCAGAGACCGTGCGTTCGCTCTGGCCTATCAAGTTACTGCCCATCACGTCTATGTCACCTTAGGACAGACAACATCGGCGAGAGGTCCTTCATTCCTCGCGCGAAGAATGCAAATAGCAACGGCAATATATGGAATGGATACCGGGCATCTCCAACTCCTTGTGCACCTAAATTTCCAAAAGTGCGACAACTAGCCTGGTGGAGTCCCTGGGCCGGCTTATGTCCGAAAGACATCCCCATGAGGGAGGCAACCCGAGAAAAGATCACCTCGGACTTCTCTGCGAGACAACAATGTCCGGGCCAACCAGGACAGAGCCAGTTGAGTCGGCGTCTGGAGGACCACCAGATGCCATGATGGGCCAACGATCCATGCGTCCACAACGACCGGGGAGAGAGGAAGTTCTTGTCGCGCTGCATGGCTTAAGCAGCCCAGAAACCAGCATGTACTCCGTAGACAGCGGAGAATTGATTCCGTGCGAGTGATGAGCGGCACAGACGAGGCCTGGTCAACTGCTAGCCAAGTGGATGCTAATGTGGGCAGACCAGCTGTGACCGGAAAAAAAGAGAGCAGCGCCAGCGACCGCACAACAAATCAGCTTCAAGGCTGGATGATCGATGAAGCAGACAAGGTCGACTGATTGGTTGTCACACCAGCACGTTATCCACGAAGAGGCCAGGCCAAACCAGGTGCGGCAGAAGGTCCACGCGTATCCAGACACCCAGTTATACCCATGTGTCTACTGTCTATTGTCTACCGTCTACTGTGTACACCATTCTCCGTACTTGGTTGATATAGTATTAGGTGAAGGGCAGTTCTCACGGGGAACGGATGCCGACAGCCGGCATGAGAGCGACGCCCGTAAGCAAGCCGACCGTGGTGGGAGCGACATACCGACCGACTCATTCACCGGGGAGCTCAGCTTTTTGGTTCTCCGTGGGACCTAAACCGACTCGAAGGAGCCGTATCTAGTGCTTACCAATGGCAAGTGGGGAATAAGCCTCCCAAAAAACAGCTCGGGGATTTTAGTGTCTTGTCTGCCTGGCGTCGCAAGTTGGGGTTGGGGTTTGGGGCTGATGGCATTTAGCCTAAAAGCTGGTGGAGGGCGGCTGGAAATCACAATGGTTCTGAATTATTAATATTACCACTGACAGTGAAAACAGTTGCTTTTTCTTCCTCAGGCAGCTGAGTTCTGCCTACTTTTCTCGTGGTACACGATGGGAAGATAAGGTGCTTACCACGGAAGAGTAGTTATTGGGTGCAATGGCAGCAGCTAATTTATCTCGCTAGCAGGGGGGAAAAAATCCAACGCGGTGTGGCTGATTCTAGTTTGTTGTTAGACAAGAATCAGCTCACCGGAAGCATCTCGGCCCAACAAGGGCAGGGAAACAAATTTGCTGGACAGCATCCACGGCAAATGGAACAGCCGGCGGGGGGTCGGCAATCCTGCCTGGGGAAATGTGTATCGGCTGGGCGGCCCACGACCGTGCGGATTCGGTGAGTCAGAGAAACAAGGGCAACTCCACGGGGTACCACGGGGAGACGAAAGGATGGAGGAATGAGGAGGAGACGATCCCCTGGAGTGCAGCCACACTAAGCGCCTTTTGGGTAAGGCGGCCAAGATCCCGCCTTTATCGGCCCTCTTTTCTGGAATCCTCGCCCGGATGCCACGGCGCCCTAAAGCTTGACCGAGGCTTGAACCTGACGCTCAAAGCTTGCCTCCCGACACCGGATTACCCTGTAACCAGCTCGGTCATACCCCGAAGAGATGGAGAACACGGCTGCAACTGGAGAAATCTGGAGTCGAAGCTTATGTGCCCCCCATCTCATTGGTAGACCATCTGCAACCCTCACCGGCCAGTGGAGTTGGGCCATGGCAAAAGGCTGCACTCGGGGAACATCATGCGGTGGGTTGCTGATGCCCTTTTGCCCCTCGCGCCGCAGATATTTCTTTTCCCTATTAAAAGTGTTTCCTCCCCTGATGATCTGATCTAACTTTCTTGTTCTGTATCCTGTTAACCTAACATCTCCCTGTGCCTGGCGTCGCGACCATGACCGAGGAATCCCACGTCGGCGACCTGTTCGCCACTGCCGACCAGAAGCAAGAGATTTCGGATGTACACCGTGAGACTCTTCCGCTAGTCGTCACCGAGGAGGAAGCTCTGGCTCGCGCCAGGAACCAGCCTGATGAAGCCCTCCCCTTGCGTATCACCTTTGGCCCGCAAGATCGGGACAACCCGCGCTGCTGGGGACACTGGCGCAAGTGGTACATTACCTTATTTGCCAGTTTCTTGAACGTTATCACGTATGTCTACTGCTAACCGCCTGTGTCTCGACCCTACTAACTGAAATCTAGCACTTGGTCTTGCGGTTCCTTCTCCTCCGGAGCCACCGGCATCGCGGAACATTTCCACGTGTCTACTGAAGTCACTACGTTATGCCTGTCCATGTATGTGCTGGGATATGCCATTGGACCTGTCTTGCTGGCCCCTCTTTCCGAGTACTTCGGTCGCCAGCCCGTCTACATCGTCTCGTGGTTCATCATGTCCCTCTTCCAGATGCCTCTCGCACTGGCACCTAACATTGGCACCATTATTGTCTGCCGTTTCATCGCCGGTTTCGCCGGTGGTGCCCCCTTGACCAACACAGGTGGTACCATCAGTGATCTGTGGGAGCGTAACCGCAGTGGTGGCCCCATGGCCTTCTACGGTCTCAGTAGCACATTTGGCCCGCCCATGGCTCTGGTGGTCAGCGGCTACATCGGCCTGAACCTGAACTGGCACTGGATCTTCTGGATCATGATGGCCATCACTGGTGGCACCTGGATCGCGCTGGTCCTGACAGTGCCGGAAACCCGCCACAGTATCATCCTGCAGCGCAAGGCCGCCCGCGTGCGTAAGCAGATGCAACGCGAGGGATTGCGCTCCGCAGAGACTACCACCGACCTCCACGCAGAAGACCGCAAGGGCCTGCACCAGCTGTTTGCAATCACCCTCACCCGTCCCTTCCGCTTCCTCTTCACTGAGCCCATCACCACCTTTTCCGCCATCTACAACGGCTTCCTCTACGGGCTGGTCTACTTGTTCAACGAAGCCTTCCCTCTCGTCTTCGGCGAACCTAATGGCCACGGCTTCAACGTCGGTCAGCAAGGTCTCTGCTTCCTGGGTATGGCCATTGGCCCTATCATTGCCTGTGCCCTGTCCCCGCTGCAGGAGCGGTACTACCTGCGCCGCGTGGCCGAGAACAGCGGCCGCAGTGTCCCGGAAGCGCGCATGTGGATGGCCCGTGTCGGCTCGCTGCTCATCCCGATCAGTCTGTTCTGGTTCGGCTGGACCAGTTACCGCTCCGTGCACTGGATCGTCCCCATCATTGCGTCTTCTTTCTTCGGTGCGGGTCTTTACATCGTCATCCTCAGTATCCTTAACTATGTTGTCGACAGCTACCAGACTTACTCTGCATCCGCTCTGGCTGGTGTCATCCTCGTCCGCAACCTCGTAGGTGCTGGCTTCCCGCTGTTCGCTACGCAGATGTACGAGAAGCTCGACTACGAGTGGGCGTCCAGTCTGCTGGGCTTTATTGCCATTCTGCTTGTGCCGATTCCATTCATCTTTTTCTACAAGGGTCGTGCTATTCGGTTGCGCAGTCCTTGGGCGCGCGAGCACTTTGACTCGGATGAGGATAGTCCGCACTAGTCTGGTCCTACCGAAAAGTGTCTGTCTGTATATAAATGCATCCGTATGACGTTATGATTCAATTAGATTTTTACAACAATATTATATTGCTCTATATTCTACCCACGCTTTCCATAGTTGTAAACCTGATTCTAAGGCCACTGGGCCTTGACGTCGACGTTCAATACTTAGTTGATCCTTCATAGTACTACTGCGCGCTCCACAATATATATATGCATCCACCACCAAGCACACTGCTTGCAAACTTTCACAACATTACCTCAGAATCCCGCCAGCACCATTATATTATATCCACGTACACAACATGAGGAACCACATCCGAATAATACAGTAGTCACTATTTCCATCCCTAAGAACAACAACAACAATCTACATGACGAACATCATACCCTCAGTCGGAGATTAGGCCACTCATGCTGCCGCTGCCGGCAACCACCGGAACAAGAAGAATACGTCAACGTCACACACGTGGACTCTTTCCCACTTCCCACCTGGATATTAATATCAGGAGAATAATAATATGCCAAGTTGTGCCATGTCAGGACCCATCGTGGAAGACGGTGACGTTGGACTGTGGGGACGAGTGACTCAGTCTGGGGGTGGGATAGGGACGGACGGGGAATTTCAAGTTAAGACTTAATACTAAAGAGGGTCAGGTCACTACTGGTTCTTATTGCATAATAGAGTTGCTTGATTGGGTTAGTCGGGAATTGGGGAAAAGTTATGTCATATAGATGAGTAAGGGGACAGGAGACTAACTACATTGGGAAGAGAGTGTTCCTTGCTTGCTGTGATGGGTTGTTATTATTGTTGTTTTGGGTGAGACGCGAAACGCATATACTAAGGTGTGGAAGTGTGTTATTATCCTTTATTTATCTGTATAATGGATGGAAATTGGTTTTTAAGCGTCATCTGGAAACGGCCACATCTGCCTCGCCTCCTCCGGTGACTTCTCTCCCGCCATACGCTCGATAAACATCGCCAGTAACTCCCGGTTCTGGCGTCGCTTTTCCTTGATGTCTAACTCAGGTGATATCCAACCTTCGGCGTCCGTGTCGAGGCACTCCTGCGCAATATGCTGAACTTCATGCCACGCCTGGTATTCAGCAAACTGTCGCTCATGCGTCTGTATTTCTTCTTCCGTGAAGGAATATGGACACGATCCGGTAAAGCCTAGGTTGGACCAGTTCTGAAATATCTCTATCAGACATGCTCGGAGGGGAATGACTCCCACCTCAGACACCTCCCCACACCGGGTGAACAATTCTCGGAACACTCGCGGCACGTTTCTTGCAATATGTGCGGGTCGGTTCTCGAGGTAGGTCGCAACTTCGTATGCTTTTGCCAGTTTGGCCTGCGACAATTCGCGTCGGGCCAGCAACTTGCTCTCATCGTCCATATTGTCGTACCCATCAGGAAGCTCGGGACTTGTGAAGCCTTGGGTGTAGTTGTCTGGGGGTTTCAAGAACTCGGGCCATCGGGACTGCAGAAAAGCGGGCATTACCGCTAGAGACTGGAAATCGATGATCGAGACTATTCTAGTATTGTCTTCGGGCGCCACGTATATGTTTCCCATATGAAGGTCGGTGTGCCATAAGGTGGGTTGCCCGGCTTGCACCAATGTGGTATGAGAGTCCAGCATTGGCATGAGGCTTATCGTGAATTCAAGAAGCTGGGCTTGTTCTTCCAAGGTGCCTTGGCAGAACATGGCTAATTTGTTTGGTATCGTCGAGATACGGGATAGCTCGCGCTTTGCAATGGATATACCAAGTTCTCATAATGTGGTCCCTGTGGATAGTAAGCTTTACTAGTAACGTTGGAGGTGCAGAGACGAACAAGGGCCTTGATCTTTAGAATGGTCCGAATGGACGTCGAATTGACGGTCAGGAGAAGGGCCGATACAGAATGATTGCGATCGATGAACATCGTCATCTAGAAGTAGACATTGAGGTTTTGAGCTCTGTAGATGGTCACGCAAATATAAACCACCGTAGGCAGGAAAACGAATAGCTGATAACTGCGCCTCGAGCTTGGTCAAGTTTTGAATAAGCTGCAACTTCTCGAATTCTGTCATGTCACCCCATACACGAAACAAGGGGACGCCACTAGCCTTTTCCATCAGGATATACTCGGCGCCTACGGATTTGCCCCTGTCTGAAGACCACGAAAGTACCCGGGGAACTGGGATTGTGGTATTTCTGCGTACTACACAGTTAGATCAGTGATCACACGCGGTGGAAAAGGAGAGAGCGACGGACGACGTACAGTATTTAAGGACACCCACCTCGGATGCAGTTGTCCATCCTGCAGGTCCAGCAATTCGACAAGGGATTTTGGCAACAACCTCGCAACCGTTCTTCTTCTCCATCAAGAGAGCCTTGCTAAATCCACCCTCCATTTTGCTTACGCTTGCCACGGGAGATGGAACGTCACCCAGAGCCGCAGCTACACTGCAGAGAGCATCGACATCGAATTTTACGTAGCGTCGAGCCAGCTGATGCTCTTCATTGACCAGGAAATGGCCGTTTGTATATGCAAAAAGTTCATCCCGGCTGATTGGTTTTCCTACTTGAATATCAGTAACGTAGATATGGCCGCTTTGTTGTTTGACGGGCAATTACCACGACAAAGGATGGATAGCTGGGCTGTTGGCTGCGACTGTCGTATCCCTCTGATCCCTCTCAATATGGAGAACATGGTATTCTCCGTGGTTGTTGTGGTATCAAGGCAAACAATGGATGTGTGAGATGAGCCAAGGCATCATCCCTGCATAGATACTAGACCACAATAGGCTTAGTGTGTGTCTTATACGTTCTATGTGCTGGTCAGGTAGCATATAACCTCGCCCTTGACATGTTGGCTACTAACTAGTTGCAGCTGTTATTCGGCGTGATTATTCACCAAAATCAAATTCTCTGTTTTATGGCATCTTAGTCTTAGAATATGAGGGCCGCATCCCCCCTTTAAAGATACCTATCCATCATCCCAGGAATAAGATCTATTCCTCATTCATACGAGCCTCACGCTCGGCTTCGTCGATGAAATACCTTCCCCATATGTTCGGATCGAGACAGAGATAGTGATACCGGAGGCTTCCCAGATCAATGGAGTTGTACAGTTGACGAAGCGTGACTGCGGAACTCACAATTAGCAGAAGGCGTCTCATGGATCCACCTTCAGGGTTGTTAGTATTTAAAAGAAAGGTCTTCCATCCTATGTCAATATTCCCGTAGTACTGATCTGATGTTCATCAGAAATGGTGTAATGTTCGGGTCTCACGACCATCTTGATTCTAATATGCCAAACTGGCCTTGTACGATCCATTTGATGCATGAAATAAGTTAGAGGAAGCGTAATGTATAGTCACTGGTTTACAGGGTCGTGAATATTGTTACTCTTCTATTTAAAAAGTCAGCAACACTCGTGTTACACTCCACATGTGCACCAACGAGAGCAAAGATCAATGCCTTATGTTCAGGTAAACATGAACGTGGGTGTATTCTTGGATGCGCTGAGGCGATGGGCTATCAACGCACTAGTCTCTGTAAATGGCAAGCCTGACATCCGTCTCGTTAAACCACCATGCTAGTATTCCCTTAGCAGGCAGAATCTGCGAGCTACTTGGGTACCCCGTAGACTCTACGTTGCCCTTTCCACCTTGGATGTCCTTGATATAGTTATTTCCATCGGCAACACCTCTCACGACAATGATAGGAGCGCATATCTCCTCTTCCAGTCCGTAATCCCAGCGTATCTGTCCACTACACTCGACATGACCGTCGTCATAGAACATTAACATGCCCAGGCATGGACGGTAGGGCTTCAAACGGTTCCTGCATACCTGTACCTTAGTAAGGCCTCTGAGTGTGACCTTAGTCATCAACCATGCTTCACTCACGTCGTCAGGATTTTTGTCTGGAAACGCCAATGTATCACGTAGTGGAACAAAGACTGGGGTCTGGCAACTGCGCGAGCTGTCACAGGTAACTCCACATAAAAGAATCCCGGAGTTCCTTGGATCGAGCCCATCATGAAATATCCCTGTAACAGGACCATCTTCTGCCTTGAACATTGGGGTATACACACCACATTCGATATACATAAGCGGAAATACCGGTCCGAAGGTCACGCTTCTACCTAAAGACGTTTGCAGCTAGTCGGTTAGTTATTGGAGCGGAATATGTGATGGATGCACCTACAATCAAGGCGTCTATTTCTTCTAGATCTTCTGCTTCTTCTGATTCGGACTCTTCCTGGTATTCATGAAAATTGCGAATCCAAGCCCCTTGGATATCTTCTTGATCATTCAGCGGGAAATAGTACCAGTATCCAAGATCGCATTGGCATCTAGTTATCATATAGTCACGCACACAATCAACGAACTCCCAGAAGGCTTTGTTGCGGCACGAGAAATTGTGGATGCCGACAATACTATAGACGCTATAATAGATGTTGAGGCATTCATGTAGGCTAGTCACGTGCTGCGCTCGGACCGCCCACAAAGTACTTCTTTGCGTTGCTTTGTTTTGCTCTCCTAGATAGCTCAATTCAACTTACTCTTTTACTTCCGTTTGTTTGTTTTATTATTACTTTTATTACTATTTCTGTAAAGTGCTTTTTAAGAGATTATAAATCCAGTCTCTATACTATGAAACTATTCAGGTCTTGCTACAGCCAGCCATTACTACTAGATAAAATATTCTATAAAATACTAGTCTTAGCAAGCCTAACAGATCTAATAAGATTATATATTCATGCTAAAAAATATACCTTATCTGTTTATTTACTTACTTATACTAAATACACTGAATAGCTAGTATAGTACACGAAGTTAAATATAGAATCTTATTCAAAAATCTCTCTCTAGAGAAAGAAATAGTTATTAAGACTATTTTACAGACAGATAAACTTTCTAAGTAAATACCTAATAATATCCTAGAGCTGCTGATCTTACTGGAAGAATATATAAATTAAATAAAATAGAATTTTTAAGTATATTAAATACTTAAGAATATCAGTCTATTAAATCTAATTAATAAAAATCTAGCTAGACCTGCTGAAGATCATAAAAAATATAAGATTTAGTATATCTATTCAATAATTATATAATTATAATTAACTCAGAATATATTAGATAAAATACTAGATCTGTTTACAGACTTTACTAATATAAAAAAACTAGTAAATAATATATATAAAGCACTCTAAAGAATTATTTTAGAAGATAGTATTATACTTTACTAAAGTATTATATATAATCTTATTAAACTAAGAAGATCTGAATATACTATAATAATTAAATATATTAATAACTTCTGAGTAAACTATATTTTTACTAAAATTTTATAATATAAAATACTTATCTTTATAGTTATACTCTTACTTCTTTAAAAGATACAGAGTGACATGCCTGCATAAGTTATCTATATAAAGAATAAAATACCAGAGGACGCGGATATTATATATAATAATAATAATTTCTATATTATCTGCTGGAACACGAGGGAACAGTATAATAAATTCAGTAGAATAGAAATAGCAGCTATTATATAAAAAAGTTAAAGCTTATTATAAAAGTTAAAAAGCACTAAAAAAGAGTAGAAAAAGACTATATATTCTATAAAAAATATTTCTTATAAAAAGCACACCACTAAAATAAAGAAAATGATGCTTAAATATATTAATAAAATTTATAATTACTATAGATATCCTGGCTATAGCTAAATAAAATATTAGTATATTAATATAATCTCACACCCAAGATTATAATAACCATATATTCTAGATATCTAGTTTTTTAAAATTCAGAATAACCAATATAAAGAAGAAAAGTTAGATTTAAATTTAAAAAATAATTTTAAAACAGCAGAATCTATATCTATAAAACAGATAGTAGAGATATTTATTTAATATATTATTTTATATAAAACAGAGTCAGATAATAAAAATATATATTTTTTAAACTTCTCTAGAATAGCAGTTAAAAATATTATTAACTATTTATTATACTAGATCTATGATATAAGCAGTTTCTAATATATTATATTTAACTATATTTTACTAGACTATTACCATGATCTAGATGCCTCTAACTTCTATAAATATAAAATATCTAACAGAGAAATTAGTGTTACTAGATCAGCTAGCTATTAAATCCTAATCTTATCTATAAATAATAAATATTATAAGATTAAAATTAAGATATTCTATTAACTGGATCTTGTATATAGCCTTCTATCTATAATTTTTTTACAGAAAAACTTCAGAATATATATAAATATAATTAACCTGATTCTATAAAGAAAAATAGATAATAAAGTAGTAGAATACTTATAAAAAAATAAAAATATATTTTTTATATATACTTAGGATGCAGAATTAATCCTTACTACAGTTAACCTCTTATTATTATATTAATAATATAAATATACAGGATTTTATAAGATTATCTCCACCGCAAAGAACTAGTAAATTAAACTTAAATATTATAAGAATCTATACTGTAATATATATTCTTTAGAAAAAATAAAATACTTAATATTAAGAAATTCTATTCTGAGAATCTCTAATTTTATATAATTCTAATACATAGATATGCAGTAAATGACCCCAGTTAACTATAAAGAATTTAAATATTTTCTGGTAATAGTAAATAATACTATCTAATTAATTAGAATAGCTATATTAAAATAAAAAAATAATGCCTTCACAGAACTGATTTAGATGAATAATAAATATAAGAATATAATTAGTAAATATATTATTTTATAGTATCTTAATAGAAACTATAAATTTAATAAATTCAAAGAATAAGTATATTACAAAAATTAAGAAATTTATATTATTATATTATCTCCCTGAACATCCAAGATAAATAATCTTATTAAATATTATAATAATTTATTTAACCAGATAAGCAGGATCATGATTCTTGACTTAGATTTATCTGTAATTCTTTAGCTATTTACTATAAGACTTATTATATAAATCCTTAACTACCTAGTTCCTGCAGGAAGTAAGATTAAAGAAATACCTGCTTATCTATACAGATTATATTATAATCTCCTGAATCCTGATACCTCGCTCGAGTTTTTATATATATTTAAATACTATTACTACTAATATATATTTATAAAGAATTATATCATTTCCAGAAAGATAAGCCCCCGCGCTGATACTGATTATTTTATTAGATTTAATAGAAATCATGACTATGTTTATCTAATATAATATTCTGATTTAAATAAAATTAAATAATCAAGAAATATAATATTCTATGAAGAATATATATACAAGAATAATTATAAAGATTCTAGTAGAATAACTACAGTATCTATATCTATTTTTAAAGATCTAATCATGCTGACATAGGATACTAGAATTAATTTTAATAAAATAATCATGCAAGATATAAAGAATATAATTAATAATAATAAGATTCTTCTTGTATAAGATAATATTGTTGACTTTATATATAAAAGAATAAAGATTATATTTATATTAGCTAAATCTATTATACCTGTCCTTCCTGCATCTATTAATCTAATTTATTTAATAAAGAATCTTTATAATTACAAAGTATTATCTACTAAATACGTGAAACATGACTTTTAATTCACTGAATCTGAATCTTTTATTATTATAATCACTGCACTAAAATAATCCTAATAAATTATAAAGAAAAAAAGTCCTTTATAACTAAAAAATAAATAAGTAACTATACTAGAGTAAGAATCTAATTTATTTCCTTTATTTATTCTTAAATAATACAAGATTAATATACTAAATATTTATATAGAAGTTATTTTATTCCTGCTTATCTTATATTAGAAGACAGCTATAACCACGCAGATTAATAAAATTAAATTAATAAATATATATAAGATAATTAACTGCTCTGCTGGCGCCCGCGTGATTCTAGATAAATAAATATTTAATCTAAAAGTCAATATAAAGAAAATTATTATATAATTTTATGCTTGATAAGTAGTTTACAGTAACTATTAAATATTTAATATTAATTATACTAAATTCTTTGTCCCAGTAGCAAGCGAGATTATTCTTAAAAAATTTATAATTAATATAGTAATAAAGGGTCTCTGCTAGAAGTAATATAATATTATCTCTGTTTATTTATATACTCAGATAAAAAATAAGCAGATCTATATAAAATAACTAACTAGATTCCATAAGAATCTCTCTGAATAAATATATCTATTTAAAATAGCTCTTTATAAACTGTGGTAGGCAGTATATCTATAATACTATATTTTTAATAAGAAATTATAAGAAATCAGTTTTAAACCCCTGCCAGAGGATCCGTGTGTATACAGAAATAATAAGATATAATTTATTATTTATATAGATAATTCTGCTATTACTGGCTCTGAATAAACAGACTTAATCTCAGTAAAATATTATTTTAATATAGTATTTAGATTTAAGGAACTAGGCAAACCGAAGATCTTGCTTAATTATAATATTTTATATAATTATAAAATAAATAGTATCTTGCTCAGGCAGTTTATTTATATAAAAAAATATTTTACTGCTGTAGGTATATAATCCTGCTCAGATATTGCTATTTCCATGATATCTATCTATATAAAAATAGATTATACTGTGATATTAACTGAGAAAGTTAATATTAATAAATATCAAAGTTTTATAAGCAGATTAAACTGGCTAATTATTAAAACCAGATTTAATTTATATTATGCCATATTCTGCCTGCAGAAGTATATATATACTTTAATTATAATAAATATAAAGATCTTGAAATATATATATAAATATCTATAAAATACTATTTCTTACAGAATTATCCTAGCAGTTAATTATATTAAAAAAATTAAAATTTATGTAGATACTGCCCATGCTGATTATAAAAATAATAAATTAATAAAAAAATATATTATCTTCTATGCAGACAGATTCATTATCTAATTATTAAATAAATAAAATATTATTATACCCTTCTCTACTGTTATAGAATACTGCGTGTATAATACTGTTATTAAAGATATCTTATATATTAAGAAATTAATACAGGTATTTAATCTTAAGATATCAGATAACAACAAAATACTTCTATTCAGTAATACTGCTAATTTACTACAGATTCTTAATTATAGTATATATATATAGTCCATTAGATAGCTAGATAACTGCTATCTATTTATAATAGATTTAATTAAAACAGATATTATATTAATCTAATATATTACAGATATTAGTAATCCTGCAGACAGCCTTACCAAACTACTGGATTAGAAAAAGTTCTGTGACTTTCAGATTCTGCTAGAGATGATTTTATTAGCTATTCTCCTGCAGTATCCAGAGAATAATACTTAATATATAAAAGATTACTTATCTAGAAAATATCTATAACTTTATTTAGTATCTTCTCGCATACTCCTTCGTCTAGGGGGCCGTGTCGAGGCATTTATGTAGACTAATCACATGCTGTACTTAGACCACCCATAAAGTATTTTTTTATATTACTTTATTTTGCTCTTCTAGATAGCTCAATTCAACTCACTCTTTTGCTTTTGTTTGTTCGTTTTGTTATTGCTTTTGTTGCTGCTTCTGTAGAGCGCTCCTCAAGAATAGACGACAATGATACCTCGGACTGGGGGTCCGAGATCTAAGTAGTGTAGCTTACCCCTGAGTACCAGCGTAGAATGGGCATACTTCAATTGATCGAGAGCGGGCACGAATGGGGAGCTCCACGTCAAGGACTTGGATAATGTTCCTTCCTCGCGGTTAAGGGTGACCATTTTCACCAAGAGGCACTAGATAAGGTTAGCCACTGCTCAGATACTGGTGATATATTAGCTTACATGATCTATTACCTGTAGCTTTGGATGAGAATCCTCAACGATATTTATCTCATACCATGGTGACTGATCTTCTGTCGGAGTAGTATCATGATCAAGAAACTGAATTCCACGCACACCGAGGTGATCTGAAGAAATGATAATTCTGTGAATGGTCTGAGGCAACTGTATGTGAAAAACATCAGTCCCTTCATTTATCTTGAGTGGCTTGTTGCTGAGCTGGGCCAGGTAAGAATGATCCTGGCAAAGAATGCGCGACACCCACAAGTCTTCGGTAAGATCGATCACGTCTTCCTGTTCTTCTTCATTCTCTCGCATGTAGTCAATGAGTCGGCAAACCTCACCTAGGATAGTCAAGTACCAACATGGAGCGACCAATTCAGCAACCCTGCGTCGGATCTCAGGAGGCAATTTACCGAAGAAATTTTGCATGAAAGACTCTGGAAACATGCATGCGGCACGCTGGGAAGAGAGACCCTCCAAAACTGTTCCGGGATTACCGCATTCTGGATATATTTTTAGGTAAAGTTCTCTCGTGGCAAGTGCGTATTTTTGGATCTCCACGAAAGACGGTTTGTCCCCTGGCTCGTAGCTGGCCATCAATAGCTGATAACATCGTGTATGAATCCATATCAATGGCTTTGGGTTGGTGTGGCAATGAATGCAATCAGTAATATCACAATTGGGTACAGTTTCTAGTGTGAAGTTATCCTCGTCGAGGCCTGCTATCCGGTTAGATGATAGTGAGCTTCGGTTCAAGGGGCCAAGGGCTTACTGAATATTTGTTCTCCAGCGGTTGGGTGATCCACGCATAGAGCACAATACAAGCGCATTATATGAATATTTTTCGGCATGACGGTGGTATGAGTGAGCAAGAACCTTGGCTATGGACATCTAATATTGGGCGATTACTGATATGAACTGTTGTCACCGAATGTAGTGGTCGTAGCACTGTAGTGGAAGAGACTATACTAGTATTTATATACTGCGTACTAGACAAATGATAGTAGTCTAATCAGGAATCGCAGCTTCCAGTGATTCAAGGCGATGGAACCAAACGAAAGCTTTTCGGTACCTCCCCTTCTCTGAATTGGTGCGCCTGGGCACCTTGTAGAACATATCACAAAGTTCAAGCCCTATGGATGTTGGCACCGCAAATTGACAGGCATATTGGGAAATGACGTGGTCCTGGCTTCTAGTTGGGCCTTCTACCACTGATTGAGCTCCATTCTACTTTGTTCGTTGGTAGTGGGGAGGTCCGATCGGGCCTGCATATTCTGCGCAACCCACAGTGCATTGTTACTCAACGGAAACACTGGGGTACATCCGCTCACTTCGGTTGTGAGCCTCGGAAATTGTACTTATACGAATCACTGCTGAAGACAGCACGTTCCCACATTTACACTCCGGTTCCATCCGGTCAGGCAGACTTATACCTTGGTCGGGCCCCTTAGCATAATCTAGATTAAACACCATCGATCGTGAACGCCGCTACGTTGGGCCTCTGGATCTCATACTTTGGAGCGTAAGGGCATGCTGCCGGTTGTTTGTCATGAGAATAAAAAAATGATAGGCAGGAATCTAAATGGTTGAAAGTTATAAGTCAATGGACAGTGGTTGCCACTCCCCTAGTAGCTCGTTGCCGTTGATACTAGGATCTTGCAGCGTCTATTATGGATGGAAGGTGTAAGCACAGCCTCCCAAATGATGCATGTTCTTGGGATGACGTCGTGGGCAAAACAGTCACGACAGCTCCAGCAAAAAGCAGGACGAGCTGTTTACCTCCGTGTGTAAGTATAGAACGCCACTGTCTCACTGTCAACTCGAATCACCAGTTCTGAAGGACTAGCCATACTCTTTGTCTCCTGTGTGTCGTGGGGCTCCCAGGAGGTGAGCGCTCCGAAGTTCTCCAGGTCCCGAACTGACCCCTGCTATAGCATTTCTCTGGTTAAGTCTAAATATAGCACGCTAATACCAATACGTGGCCGCATGCTTTCTCGATGTACGAAAAAAACAATGAGGAGCTGGATGCAGCTGTGATATAATACATTGGATTGCGAGGGCGGCGGTTAATCCTTTTGAGAGTGGACCGGCTCAACCATTTGTTCGTCGCGGGGCAGCACGCAGCAGTTTCGTTGGGGAACAAAGAGACGGCAGTAAGCTTGGCGTGATCCAAGAGAATGACAGCTGTAAATTAGACAAAAAGGGATCGATGAAAGGATGCATTCCGTACTAAAGTGGAGTGCTTGCGGTTGGCGCTTCCGTGGCCAATAGCACGAAGTATCACAGGGGTCTCACCTTTTTGCTGCACACTATCTAGACACTAACAGTCGCCGTTGTCAGGCTACAAGTGCAACCGTTTAGCAATCGGCCAATCAGGTCTGTGTATAGGTGTTATGGGGTTTCCAATACCGCAACCACAAGGCTGGCGCCAATTCTCCTCTGCGGGGTATGTCCTGAGTTTCATACCTGCATCGACCGATCAACGCTGAGCGAACGTCGGGGAAGATTATGCATAGATACTTCACAAAGTCGCAGTAACACAACACCCATTGTGACGAATGTCTGCCAGACACGCATCATCCAGGCAACGGAAAATCGTATAGGGTTGCCTTCACAGTGAATGAGGAAAGGGCACATTTGATGCTCACCTAGTACGGAGAGCTTCTATGATCAACGGGATAACAGGCAGATAGCGTATCTTATGATTTGCAGCCTTGTCAGCAGAGCCAAGTTTTGAAAGAGCAAGTTCAGGAGTCACGATCCTGGCGGGAATTGGAGTCCGCTATCCAATCACTTTCGGCTAATAAGGGCCTACTGCGTACACTTGATACTACTTCTCATCTCCTCGCGACATATCTAGCACTCGGACAAACCCCCTTCCTAGGCCAGCGCCAGCGGCTACTGTGAGTGGGACACTCTCATTTGAGAATGGAATGGAGGACCCTTGTGCGCATTACTTTCCCGCATTCTCTCACAGCCTATGGTTTTCGCAAGCAACATCATGGTTGTCGCTGATTGGTGGACGAGAAACACAGCCCCCGTGCCATTGCAATGCCTGATCGCGATGGCTCCTGTATTTGTGGTATACGGAGCACGAATGGTCTTTGTGCGTTACAATCATATCACCCAGGTGGCTAAACCACCAAACAATGAAACCCGTCTCGGGAAGTTGCCATACACTTGGCCCTGCTTCACTCTCTAAATTGTCTCGCGCAGTACGGATATCTCTGATGAATCCTCGCTCACCAACGACCCCCTGTTTAACGACTACTGGGCAGCTGACTTCGTCATCCAGGCCGTAATCCCAGCGTATTTGCCCACTAGCCTCCATGTGTCCATCCTCATAGAACATCAGGAAACCCACATAAGGCTGATGTGCTTGAGCATGATCCCTGCATACCTGCACTTTGGTAAGGCCTCGCAAGGACACTTTTGTCATGTACCATGTGGATGAAATGGAACCTCGCCCGGGAGGGATTTCCGGAAGCTCCAGTTCTGCATGCAGGGGTGGGGGAACTGAAATGTCGCTGTGGTCGGTATCATCACAGGTGACTCCATATTCGGATATAAATTTGTACGCTGGATCAAATCCATCGTGAAACAACCCTGAAACACAGCCGTCATAGCTGCTCATCAGCGCGTAATATTCGAGTTGGTCAGTGATGCGAGATGGGAAATAGGTCCCGAAGGTCACGGTTCTGCCTAGGCAGGTGCGCAGCTAACGGATGAGTCATTGAAGCAGAGCATGAATGGAGGATGGACTTACAACCAAGGTAGGACTGGCTGCTGGTCCTTGGCACATTTTCAACTTCCGGACCCAAGCACCGCTGATTCTTTCATTGCTGTTGAGGGGGAAGTAAATCCAATGCTTAATGCTTTCTTTTACGCGTTGATGTGCCGAATCGAGAAAGTCCTGGAACGGTTTGTTTGTACCTGAAAAAGCGTGGATGCCGATAGTCTGACCGGCTGACGAGCAGACAAGAAGACCTTGTACCTGAGGTCCAAGCTCCATGTAGTGTAGTCGATGCTTCTTACGACAGGCGTAAAAGTTCCGTGAGTGGAAGGTCGGTGGATAAGGGCTGGACCACATTATTGATGCGGAAGGTGAATCGCAGGCAGCGAGCCGAACCTCCCTCACAAAAAGTCCCTAATACCGTCGGCTCCTGGCCTGGCTTCAGGTCATAGATATACATACATCGAAGTTCACGTGAATCTTACGTGGCAAATGCTGCGCATCGAGTATCTCGTACCATGGTGATCCATCCCGTGTTGGGGTAGCTCTGTCGTCCAAAAACTGGACCCCCCGCAAGCCGATACTGTCTGTTGACAGAACTATTTTCTGGATCTCTCGTGGCAGTTTTACGTGGGATACGCGAGAAGAAGTTGTAGGCTTCAGTGGAGTGTTGCTGAGCCGTACCACGTATGAGTTTCCCCTGTAATTGACCCTTGACATCCACACATCTCGGGAAATGTCGACCTCGGGATCCTGAATCTCACCGTCCCGTATCTGGTGCTCAATGAGTCGACGGCTCTCCCCGAGAACTGTCAGGTACCAACATGGCCCAATGAGTTCGGAAATCATGAGCAAAATCTCGAGAGGCAAGCGCTCCAGCAATTCCTGACTAAAGCAATTCTGCATGATGGGTGCAGTATGTTTGCTGAGAAGTCCTTCTAAGGTAGACGCAGCAGCCTCATGCTCTGAGCAGAGAGGTTGATAAACAGGCTTCGTCGCACCGGCAAATACTTCCAAATGTTTCACTGAGGGCTCCTCGGATGGTTCATAAGTAGCCCTGAAAATGCGAAAACAGGTTGGATGGAACCAGATCATCGGATGTGGGGTGTAGTTGCAACCCCCACACGGAGACTCGCATTGTGGTACCACTAACTGGCTGTGGGTGAGGTCTGCCGGTTTGGTTAGCGGATCGAGATGGTGAAGGCCTGGCGTGTCTGGAGTTGGAAGGTAGATCGGTGGGACATGCGAAGCTCACCTAAGATGCGTGTTCCGGCAATTGGGGGTTCACTACATAGTAGACACGATGTTCGTGAAACGTGAATTTCTTGATTCTCGCCCATTTTGGCGATGGTATATAGTGTCTCAGTCAGTGCCTTGTTCTGGAGGTAGAATTTGCCCTTGTTGATGATATTGGTTGATAGCCTGGATACAGAGTCGAATATGTTGTCCTTGTTGCACGGCGGGGAGGCGGCGGTTAAGAGGATATCTTAGCCTTTGGGGAGGCGGTGGATCAATAATAGGTTGGTCACACCAGGGGTCACTAATCCTTCCCGAGCAGTAGCACTCATTAGCGCTCAGACGTCCATACTTAGTTAACCGTTAAGAGTCACAGCTGTTTAGATCTGCCAACGAATGGACCGGTGGCGGGCCATTCAGCCAGGTGAAGTACACGCCCGACCGCCAGTTAGGTTACTGCCTTGATGGCGGTGTACTCGCTGTACGGGTAATACACATATCACCCAATAACAACAATCAAGCATGAAAACAAAGATCCATGAGGTGCATCATGGTTTCTCACTGTTAAAAATCACAGCGAGGATTGGAGAGGCCACTCGTTGGTGGCTGGGATTGCCCAAGGGAATGAATCAGCGGTCAGGCATGTGGATGAGATCTGTCACATGGTGAGTTATGCTGAATGCATAGGAAGGTATCAGGAGTAGATAACCAGTGTCTATGTATCTGAACAATGGGACGGAATCTAGAATGAATATCAAACTCTGTCACAGCCCTGTTGAGCCTTTGTCATCCATCTGGTTTCCGAATCAACCATCTACCTACCGGCTGCAGCAAAAGGAAAAAGTAGCTAGCTAACTAGCTCATTTGGTGTTGAAGGAGGTTTCGATCGGGTCTTAGTTGGCATTATTCTTAGAACCCCCCATTGAACAATGACAGAAAAAAACTAATGAACTACAATGTGGGAACGGGGTACCACTAGGAGGATCTCGTATCCATCGATCAACCATGGAACCCTTCCTCCGACTGACTTTCCCCGCGATTCCGGCCCAACCTTCGAATCACCCAACCACCGGAAGATTGTTTCTTGACGACCTCTGGAGATTATATCTCACGAGAAGGAAATGAGTTTACTCTGAGAATACTACACCTATGGCCTTGTATGCCGCTGCCCGTCAACGCCCTCACCGCAGCATCCACGACCCGGAGGTGCGCCCGCTGCGTCTAGCCGTCCTCAAAGCTGCCACCATCAACCTGCTCATCTTACAACTCCTCTTCCTTGGTCTGTTCTGCTATCTGTTCGGGTCCATCTTTCAACAGACCACTCATATACATAATCTCAATGTCGTCTTCGTTGACTACGATGGCGGGGCCATCGGTCAGGCCGTGCGAACTGCCTACCAACAGCTGCAAGGGTCCGGCTTCCCGACCCTCCGCGAACAGTCAGTCCAGGCTTATCCCAATCCTGCGTCGATCGTCTCCACCGTCTGCAATATTCACTACTGGGGAGGTCTGTACATCGTCGAGAATGCTTCCTCGCGCCTATCAGCTGCTCTCATCGGCATCGGGACAGCAACCTACAATACAAGTGATGTCATGACCCTAGTCTGGAATGAGGCGCGCTACTCCACCGTAGTGGATTCTGCTATCCAGTCCAACATCTTGTCGTTATCTGAAGCTGCTCGAATCATCTACACCACTACCAACGGCCCTGCCATCCTTCAAACTATGAACACGTCTGACCAGACAGCCATCGCCACCCTCGCTGACCCCTGGACGCTCTCCACCATCAACATCCAACCCACCACCCAAGGTTCCCGCCTCATCTACAACACTCTAGTCGTCATCCTCATCCTCATCCAAGAATTCTTCTACCTTGGCTATCTCAATGGTCTCTATCAGCAATTCCACCTGTACACTTCAGTTGACGCGCACCGCATCGCCATCATCCGCCAGCTCATCTCAGCGACATACACCTTCATCGGCTCGCTCTGCACAACCGGCGCCATCTGGGCCTTCCGATATGGCTGGCACGTTAACGGCGCCCAATTCATGATTACCTGGATGGCGCTGTGGTTATTCGCGCATCTGAACTTCCTCGTCTTGGATGTGTTCACGATCTGGCTAGCACCGCCATTTGTTCCCATGGCCCTTATCTCATGGGTTGTGTTGAATGTCTCGTCAATCCTGTTGCCGTTTGAGCTGTCTCCAGGGTTCTACAAATGGGGATATGCGCTGCCCGCGCATGCTATCTTCCAGGTCATGGTGGATATTTGGTCCGGTGGATGCAATCCCCAACTGGAGTACGCGTTACCGGTTCTGTTTGCGTATGAGATTGTCGGGATGGTGCTGAGTAGCCTTGGGGTGTACCGTCGGGCGCATTATGCGGTACTGGCGGAGGAGGCGAAGAAGGAATCGCAGGAGCGTTTGGCTGTTGATGCCGAAGGAGAGGCAGAGAAGGAAACCCCCGGTACTAATGGAGAGGAGGGACCTGCCGGGGCGGCAGAGGCAGAAGAAGGTGAACCATCAGAGACGCAGCCAGAGGGATTCGGGGAGCGCATCAGGGAGGAAATGTCGCGGCTTGAGAGAGTGCACACCACTCGGCAGAACACGGGGCCATCGTTCGATTTACCATATACCGACTAGCTACTGGGAAGGCATATCATGAGATATAATCTATAACCATGAACAAGACTGACCTGTAATCAAGACTCATGCCCAGGACCCTCATTCCTATGCAACGAAGCATACCCATCCCATCTATCCCCAACCAAACCAACCTACTCAAACAACCCATACCAAACCCTAGCAATCCCCCTCCTAACAGGAACCACCACCCCAGCCTCATACTCATCAATCTCCATCTTCAACCCACCCAGCCCCAAATCCGCCGTCCCAGGCCAGACATACCTCGTCCTCTTCACCACCTTCCAAAACCCAAACGCGACCACGAAAAACCCAACCATCGTATAATCCAAAAAGAACGTCTGCACATCCCATTGCCCATCGAGGAATATCTCGAACCCAATAATCAGCGTCATGACTATCGTGCCCACCAGCGCGAACCACCCCGCATACGGTTGCAGCACTCCCTTGTATTGGAGTGTATCCCGGGATATACCCTGTCGACGCATTGCCGCGTAGAAGTGCAGGTATGTGATGCACGTGCCGACGTAGTTTAACAGGTATGAGGCGACGATTATTCCCACGAGCCAATTTAGTACTGTCGAGGAGGAGTTGCTTACTTGGAGGAAGCCCAGGAGGCAGAATGCTAGCGAGGCGCCGACGGCGTAGTAGGGCAGGCCGTTGCGGTTGCACCGTGCGAAGAGGGACGGGGCGCGGCCTTCGAGGGCCATGCCGTGGAGGGTCCGCGCGGCGGAAAAGACCAGGTTGTTGCCGGCGGAGAAGACGGAGGTCATGATTAGGGCGTTGACGATGTCCGGGAGGACCCGGATGTTGAAGCGGTTCATGGAAATCACGTAGGGAGAGCTGGAGAAGATATGGATGTTAGAGGGCAGAGCCTGGATGAATATCCGGGTAGGATCGGACTCACGCAGCTCCCGTGCCACTTTCGTGGCCCGATCCTTCCAAGGTCGCGGCGAGCGTAGGATCGTTGTAAGGTATGAGTATGCCCATTGATAGAACACCCAGGATGAAAAACGTAACCAGTCGCCAGGGGTACGCCGCGTAGGCCTTGCGCATTACTCGTCGTGGTCGGGCGGCTTCTGCGGCGGCCATGGATATGTACTCCGGGCCGACCATTCTGTTGCGGTGGTAAGTTGTTGAAGTAGATGGAGGTTAGGTAGATGGGTTGGTCTTACGTGAATGAGGCCTGGATCATGCATGCTAGAACGCCGCAGAAGCGCCCGACACTGCCGGGTTCAATGTAGGACACAAAAGCCCCCTGCGTGGCATGTCATCAGTCTGGATTATGTCTGACGATGAGAGGATGTACTCACCGGATCACGCCAGTATCGAAAGCCGTACACATCGTGCCAGGGATTGCCTCCGACCATGGTAATAAAGGTGTACAGGAGAAGTCCGACCATGAGGAAGATCTTGAAAAATGACAGATAGAATTCCGACACTCCGAAGAAGCGAACAGTGAATATATTCAATAGCCTGAGACCGAATCAGTCATGTCAAAGATAAAATGGTGTTGGGGATTAGAGGTGCCCACGTGTAAAGCACCAGCATAATCACCACCACAGCCGCTACAGGCACACGATCCGTCCAGTAGGTGAGGAGGATGTTGATAGCGACGATCTCATACGGAATACCCAATGCTGTTGTTGAGGTTAATCTTCCAGATCAGCTTAACGGATTTACGACTAACCCATGGTGAAGAAGAAATTCCAGCCCATGGCAAAGCTAAGGGCATCATCTACCCAGTGACCGGCGAGGCGAATGAATGGAGAGGGTATGGGCAGATAGCAAACCATCTCCGCTGCAAGGGTCAGCTTAGCTCTGCTGAGCACGGAAACAAAGGTTCGAATGAGACAGACTCACCAAAGCATTGGTTGACAGCGAGTATGATAGGTGTGTACGCGAGAAAACCAATTAAAAGACCTGCAGGACCAGCCTTAGGCAACATAGCACCCGCCTGGACAAAAAGCGCTACAGGCAGTTAGTCGGGGGTTTAGAAAATTGTGCTCTCGATGCTACCGGCATGCCGACACGTACATGTTCCTATGGCTCCCCCGACCGCGAAGAGCTGGACCTCTTTTCCGCCCAGCTTGCGATGCAGATGCTGCGATCCGGCCGTGATATTCGGGGTTTCCGGAGACTCTGAAGCATAGTCGCTGGCCTCGGCCACGCCGAGGTCGGGTTGGCGGTACTTGGTATCCATAATTGACAGCTGC